GCGCCCCTCCCCTGCTTATTTTTTAAACTGAAGTACAGCCGACCTACCGTGTTAGCGTCGGGCGTGCGGCACAGTGACGCAGCAGCTGCCTGTGTTGTGTCATGCTGCGTGCTTCGCGAGCGTAGCTCCGTGTGTCACCGTGCAGCCCTGTGACAGCACCATCAGCCCCATTCTGTGCTGCACTTCCGGCTCCGCACTCCAGGATTGGAAGCCTGCACTTGGCACTGCCCTGCACCCGTTTTGCCCCCACCCCCCGCGCCCCATCACTTCTTTGTATTTATAGGTCTGTTCCAGCTTTGTTTTTAGATTCCACATACAGGTAAAATCATGTTCTCTCAGTTCACTTAGCATAACGCCCTCTAGGTCCATCCGTCTTGTCGCAGATGGCAAGACTTTCTTTTTTGTGGCTGAGTTATGTTTTAGACACACTCATATCTTTTCAAATCAGTGTTTTCTTTTTTGGGAGGTAAATACCCAGTAGTGGAATTACTGGATCATGTGATATTTCTGTTTTTAATTTTTTGGTTAATTTTTAAGATGTTTTATTATTTTTAAGAGAGAGTGGGGGGGGGGCACCTGGGTGGCTTAGTCAGTTAGGTATCTGACTTTGCTCAGGTCACGATCTCCTGGTTCGTGAGTTCGAGCCCCGCATTGGGCTCTGTGCTGACAGCATGGAGCCTGGAGCTGCTTCAGATTCGTGTCTCCCTGTCTCTCTCTGCCCCTCTCCCACTTACCCTCTGTCTCTCTCAAAAATAACAACTAGTAAGAAAATTAAAAAAAAAAAAAAAAAAGCACGAGCGAGGGACGGACAGAGAGGGAGGAAGACACAGAATCGGAAGCAGGCTCCAGGCTGTCAGCACAGAGCCCGACATGGGGCCTGAACCCCATGAGCTGAGAGATCGCGACCAGAGCCTAAGTTGGACACTTAACCGACTGAGCCACCCAGCCACCCTGTGTGGCTTTGTCTTTGATGTCATATTTATGGAACTGTTGCCACATCAAAGGTTGTGTTTTCTTCTAAGAGTTTGAGGGTTTTAGCTCTTAAAATGTAGGTCTTTGATCCATTAGGTTGTGTATGTGGTGGAAGGTAAGGGCCCGTGTACGTTCTTGGGCACATGGGCACCCCGTTTTCCCAGCACCATTTGTTGAAGAGACTGTCTTTTCCCCATTGAGTGGTCTTGGCGCCCTTGTCAAAAGTCAGTCTGTTGTTCTTGTGTTGGTTTATATTTGGTCTCTCCGTTCTCTTCGGTTAGTCTTTCCGTCTGTTTTGTGTGCCAGCACCACAGTTTCATTCCCGTAGCTGTGTAATAAATTTCGGGATGCAGTGTTAAATCCTGCAGTCCATAAACACGGGATGTTTTTGTACTTACTTAGGTCTTTAATTTCAGCAGCGTGTTGCAGTTTTCAGTGTACGGGTTTTCACCTTCTAGGTTAAATTTATTCCTACATACAGCATTTTATTCTTTTCGATGCTGTTGCAAATCAGTTATTTAAAAATTTTTCATGTTGTTCGTTGTTAGTACGTAGAAGCAGAACTAGTTTTTGTGTGATTTTATACCCTGCAGCCTTGCTGACTTTGTCTATTTGTGTGTGTGTGTGTGTGTGTGTGTGTGGATTCTTCAGGGTTTTCTACATACAAGACCGTGTCATTTGTGCACAGAGGTAATTTTCCAATAGCAGCAGTGAAAACGGTGCCTTTGTCTTGGTCCTGATGTGAGGGCGGAGCCTTCAGCCCTTCCCTGCGGAGGACGTTCGCTGTAGGCCTGCCGGACACTGCAGCTTCCCGGAAGTGGCTGATCTAACCCGGAAAGGAAAAGTGTGCCTGTGTCTTCACTAGGCCTCGCAGGGGGCTAGTTGCTACACCGGAGCTAGTCCTTCAGGGGCCTGCCAGACTGGCTGGAAGGTCCTCACTGCCTGCTCCCAGCCCCGTCCCCAAGATCAAACTGCTCCCTCCGGGTCCCCGCCTGCTTCCCGGAGCTGTGCACCTCCCAGCGGGTTCCAAAAGTGTTGATTCTGGTCTTTTATTCTGGCCTGGTGGTCATCTTGATGGAGGGACTACCCCTAAAGCCTCGCCGCGCCACCATGGCGCCTCCAAGTAGCGTTTGGTTTTGAGGTTTAAGGAGTGAATTTGTCCTGACAGCCAGCGTGGTCCCCATTCCTCGCCTTGCTGAGGCGGCAGTACAGAGGCTCGGGCTTTGCCGGGCGTGTTCTCACTCTGGTGGCGAGGGGTTGGTCCGTAAGGCCACCAGCGGGCACGGGGACGGAGGCAGGTTGGCGTGGGAGCCTGACACAGCCACCACCCCTCCCCCTTGAGAGAGAAGCCTGGGGAACAGGGAGAAGCGTCATGGAGTCTGATGACATCTTTCCTTCTTCCCCCTTCACAGGGTCTCTGGTAAAAAGGGTGAAAGCAAAGAAGCCAAGAAGGCGGAAGAACCAAAAATGCGCAAGAAGCCCGGCCCCAAGCCGGGCTGGAAGAACAAGCTTCGCTGTGAGAGGTGAGGGCCTGGGGGCCGGGGGTAGTGCGGGGGGTGGGGGGGCCTGTCCTTTGGGGCGCAGTTCCATGTGTGCCTTGCGTTGCAGGGAGGAGCTGCCCACCATCTACAAGTGCCCTTACCAGGGCTGCACGGCTGTGTACCGCGGGGCGGACGGCATGAAGGTGAGAAGGGCGGGGCCCGGGAGGACCCGCCGTGCGCACGGAGTCCAGAGCGGACTTGTCCCCAAGGGCTCACATGAGCCGGGGGTGGGGGGAGAAGTGAAGCAGCTGTGGCCCAGGGGGGCCCTCCGCTCTCGGGACAAGTACCCGCCTCTTGTTGAGTGAGGAACGTCTGACTCTCCCTAAGGGTGCCGTGTGGGGCCCGCGGGAGGGGCGTGCCGTGCGAGCCGGGCGACGGTCCCGGCCAGGGCGCTCAGGGTCCCGCTGCCGCTCTTGCAGAAGCACATCAAGGAGCACCACGAGGAGGTGCGGGAGAGGCCGTGCCCCCACCCCGGCTGCAACAAGGTGTTCATGATCGATCGCTACCTGCAGCGCCACGTGAAGCTGATCCACACAGGTAGGGGCCCTGCTCTCGCACACGCCCCCCCACGGGCCCGTGGCCGGCCGTCTGTGGGGATTGCCTGGTGGCATTCCGAATTTACTGTAGGGGCAACCGACAGTTGAGTGTCGGACTCCGTCTCGGTCCAGGCCATGACCTCGTGGTTCAGGGAATCGAGCCCGCATCGGCCTCTGCGCTGCTCGCATGGGGCCTGCTTGGGCTTCTCTCTGCTCTCGCAAAAGAAATTACTGTAGGAAGTCGTTCTGATTTGCTTTTTTCACTTTGCCCATCTTATTGTTGGTTCAGGTTTGTTGGTTTCACAGTGAAACCATTTTCCTGTGTTTTCTGTTTTAAGCCACCTTAGATACCTCCTGACGCAGATAATTCCCTTCAATTAGGTCTTCAGGCTGCCGGTGACAGTTCAGAGCCCAGTGGTCACGACGACTAGCAGTTTTCCTAAAACACCCACGAGGAGAGACGACCCCGTCAGGGTGGAAAGTACCTAGTGCAGGACAGTCACGTGTGTGAGGCTGTGTCCCGTGTTACAGATGAAGGAGTAGGTGGGACTGGAGATGGCAGTGAGGGAGAAGCTCGGGGCCACCCCCTCCCCCGCCCCCCGGTGCCTGCCCAGTAGAAGTGACTGTGGAGTTTTTGTGCAGGAGCTAAGAAATTGATCTCCAAAGCAGGTCTCCCCTCCCCCACCAAGGACCCAGTACGCGGACTGTTTCTAGACTAGCTGTGGTCTGTGAAGCTTTATAGGTTGGGTTTCCTCTAGGAAAACAGGCTTCCAACGTACCCATCTGATAAAGAGGAAGTCCCAGCCAGGTGACATTTTCAGGCAATTTGGATCGCTCTATTAATCATTAATTGTGTACTGGCAATGTTTTTCACTGGAGCATCTGGGTGGCCCAGTGGATTAGGTGTCTGACTCTTGCTTGCCACTCAGGTCATGGTCTCAGTTTATGAGCTGGGGCCCCCCTGTCAGGCTCTGCGCAGACACTGAACAGAGCCTGCTTGGGATTCTCTCCCCTCTCTTAGACTTTAAAAAAGTGCTTTTCGTGTGTGAATAAAATTAGATTTGCACAGCCCTCTTGCTTGGGCCTTGAGTGTAAGGAAACCCCATGTCGGGCCACCAGGCTCCAGGAGAGGGCTGGGCATTTTCATGTTTATTCCATCTCTGGCCCTCAGAGGTGCGGAACTATATCTGTGACGAGTGTGGACAGACCTTCAAGCAACGGAAACACCTTCTCGTCCACCAGATGCGCCACTCTGGAGCCAAGCCTCTGCAGTAAGTGTGGGGTGGGGCCCCCTCCTCATGGCCACACTGGCACCCAGGCCCATGCTCACCTGACCCTGTCCCCCAGGTGTGAAGTCTGTGGGTTCCAGTGCCGCCAGCGGGCATCCTTGAAGTACCACATGACTAAACACAAGGCTGAGACTGAGCTGGATTTTGCCTGTGACCAGTGTGGCCGGCGGTTCGAGAAGGCCCACAACCTCAATGTGCACATGTCCATGGTCCACCCGTTGACGCAGACCCAGGACAAGGCCCTGCCCCTGGAGCCACCATGCGGGACTACAGAGGGCCAGGCTGTGAAGCCTGAGCCCACCTGAGCTCAGATGGCACATGGGGTTAAGATGGTTTCGGTAGTCCTTCACTCAAGACCTGACGGCACAGCTTTGCCCGCTCCCCTGGGGCCCCCGGGCCGCCTCCCCCCACCTGTGCATCAGGAGGGGGGGGGGATCACTGAGCTGCAGTCGGTGAAGGTGGGCTCACCATGCAACTTCCGTAGCCTTTCCAGCCTCTGCTCTGGGACCCACATTGACCTGCGATTCTGAGTGACTTGGGGCCACGTGGACTTAAATCATTGGCTCCTGTTCCCACGAAAGCAATCAAGGAGATTTGTAACCCACTTTCTAGTGCAAGAGCTCCATGTTGTGCTTGTAATAAATTATTTACAAAGGAGCTGAGCTGTGCACCACGCAGGGTCCAGTCAAAAGAGATGGGGCTCCTGGTAGAGGTCAGTGCCGGGCCCGGCCTGCTGTCTGCTCAGGAGGGCGGCCCTCACGTCCGGGTCACAGTCTGTGCTGGTGGCCAGCAGCTGCAAGAAACCAACTGTGCTCAGCTGAGTGCCGCCCCCAGACACCTGGGGACAGGGCAGCTGGCAGCCACAGCCTGGCAGGTAAGTGGCCACAGCACAAGTGCCACACCCCTGGGTCCTTTCAGTGGAGGGACCAGCACTCTCGTTTGCACTTGAACACACACACCAAAGTGAGTGTCTGGCTGTTACCTCCGCCATGTTGGAGAAGCTCTCTTTTGGGCATCTCGGTATTGACTGCAGCAGAAAACGACGAGCCTCTGTTATCAGGCCTACAGGGTCACCCTAAAGAGAGGACAGGCAAAGCCACGGGTCAGGGGCTGCTGTGAGGGGTCCGGACGCCCCCATCTGCCGCCTGTGCCAGTAGGGGCCGTCGCTGGCCGCACGGCTCTGTGAGGAGGGTCACCTGCCTGGCCCTGGGGCTCGCGGCTCCCGCTGGCTCCGGCAGAGATTGCACTCGTTTCCCCAGCCACGAAGAGACAGATCAGCTTTAGGTACATGTCGACAGCAACATGCAGGAAGGCGTCCTCCCTGGTGAGGGTGTCTTCGTCAAAGCAGGAGAGCAGGCTGAAGAAGAGAAGCTGCCCGTGACTCTAAGACCCTGCGGAGGTGAGTGGCCGCAGGGCGCACAGAACAGCTGCTCAACTGAGGAAAGGCGTCACCGGCACCTTTCCCCTCTGGAGGGAGACACTCCGTGGCACTGAGGTCTAGGACTGGGGAAGGGGAGGACCCCTCTGCCCACACACGACCCCATGGGCAGGGACCCCTTCACTGAGCGCTCTGGTAGCAGCCAGGGAAGCGGGTGCAGTTACCTGTAGAAGGCGAACGGCAGCAGTCGGATGTACTGATCTGGGGCCAGGCGCAGGAGGACGTGCCCCAGGCCGCCAGCTGCAACACCGAGGCCGAGCCCTAGGTGGGCACGTTCACGGAACATGAGGGGCCTGGCTGGGGAGGGGGGGCGTCCTCGCTCTGGAGAGCAGAGCCCCTTCCCCCCACCTGCTGGCCTAGTGGGTGGGACTCAGTATCCCATGGAATGCTTCTGTGTATATACTTGGCAAGAAGATACACTTTTGAAAATGAGTAAAGTCAGGCCCGAGGTCTCTTTTTCAACCATGTGAAAATTATTTCTGGAGAAAGGTCAAGTGGGGATGGCAGCCTGGCCCTGCTGGCTCACCGGTGTCCCCAGATGGTTAACGAGGACAGACGCAGGCCGTCGTCCCCTGCTGTCAAGTCTCAGTGGCCTCTTACCTGTCTCCGTCAACTGAAAGAGCAGCAGCCAGGAGACCCGCTTCGTCTGCAGACACCCCAGGATCTCAGCACAGATGTCCAAAGCCGTTAGGGTGTCGACAGCCTGTGGCCCACAGAAGAGGGAGGCTGCCTCTAGGGTCGGGAGTGTCAGCACAGCCACACACACTGAGGAGAGGCCCGACCTCCGCCCAGAAGGGAGCCTCCGTGCGTCCTGTGAGCCTCACATGGTGACCGTAGGGACAACAGGCCAGGGACCCTTGTGCCGGGTTCCGAAATAAGATCTCAAAGGACAGGCCCAGGGGTTCTTGCTTCGGCGAGCACAGGACTCCCGAGAAACCCTTCGGAACAAAGGTTCCAGGGCTGTCCTCCCAGAGACCCCACGCGCGCAGTGGGAGAGGCCACCTCACCTGCCGAGGTCTTCCCCGTGGGGTCAGGTATGACGAAAGCAGGCCCATCAAGGAAAAGAAAAACAGGGAAACCAACAGCTGCCAACAGAACAGGTCCAGTTACAGCTGTGAACTGCCCGGGGCGCCCGGGGCTCGGCTGCGCTTCCGACTCTGGACCGGGGCTCACGATCTCGTGGCTCGTGGGACTGAGCCCCGTGTGGGCTCCGCGTGGACAGCTTGCAGCCTGCTAGGGATTCTCTCCCTCTCCCAAAACAAATATATAAACTTAAATAAAATTCTCTACATTGTGCCCTCAAAAAGTAATTCTAAGTAAGGAATAACGCACACAGTGTTCTTTGACCAAAGATCTATAGGCAAAGGACATAAATCTTTAACGTTTTTCTTCATAAAATCCACTTAAAGAGGTAATTTCAGAATATTTTTTTATCGACTAGGTAATTTTATATGTGCCTTAAACCATGGCTCGCACAAGGGACAGCAGAGAACTAGGCTGTTGCTGAGGGTTCCCCTAGCCTGGGAGCTGCAGGGAGCCCCCCCAGCCTGCCTCCTGGGCTGCTCGCGGAGGAGTTTATAAAACCCCTAGAGATGAGGCCGCACGTCCCATCCTGACCAGAGGCAGGAACCCACTGGCACACACCTGCTTGAGTGGGGTCTGTCTGGACACTGTCCCCTCAGCACGCACAGGGCTGGGTGGCTTGGCGCCACTAAAATCACTTTCAACAAAAACAAACTTAGAAGAATCTCTATGATTACCAAAAACCTCAGGCAGGCATTCTGCCCAGAGCTGACAAGTTGACTTCCCAGGTTTTTGTTTTTTTTTTTTTTTTTAAGTTTACTTCTTTTGAGAGAAAGTGTAAGTGGGGGAGGGTTGGAGAGAGAGAATCCCAAGCAGCCTCCACAGTCAGCACAGAGCCTGATGCGTGGCTTGAGCTCACAAACCGGGAGATCGTGGCCTGAGCCTAAATCCAGAGTCCGATGCTTAACGGACTGAGCCCCCAGGCGCCCTGACCTTCCAGTTTACCAGTGCTGTAGCTGGGGAGACACTGGAGGGGCCCCGGCTGCGGAGAGGTCACAGCCAAATAGGAAGAGCAAGAGTGAACTTGAGAGTCGAGTATTACTAACCCTATAAACCTCGAACACTTTACTTCCTAACAAAGTCGGGACCGCCCGCACCTCCCTCCTGTCCTCAGAAGAGCCCAGCCCGCGGGGTGCACCGCGAGAAGCCAGGAAAGTGAGGGACTCCACGTCTTGCCTCCTCTCCGTGGCAGCCCAGCCGCTGCAGGTGGCTCTTGGCGCGGTCCCTCCCGGCTCGCTGGAGTGCGAAGTAGAGCGCGGCAGCCGACAGCCAGGCCGGGCCCGGTGCAGGGGACGCCGGGTCCGGGGAGAGGCAGCTGGGAGACAGGGGCGTAGGTCACCACGGAAGCCTCGAGGCCCTATCCTGGTTGAAAACCTCTGGTCCTTGGTCCCTACTGGTCAGGATGCTGGCCTTGCCCACCTTCGGGCCGAGCAGAGACCCGGGCCTGTGTCAGGCTCGCCTGGAGGCCTGACGTTCCCTGTCTCGGTGGTGGGCACAGTCCTGTGCCGTGGCCGCGAGGAAGGAGCAGGGCCCGCCGGGGGCACCTGGTCCCCACCAGCTGAGCTCTGCAAGAGGGCCGTGTACACAGGCCTCGGACCGGGAGCCCACTACTCAGACCCTTGCGTTCTCTCCCAGAAAGGGTCTCCAGCAGGTTAGAATCCAGGCCAAAAATGAATGGAATTTGGCTTCCCTTGTCTTCTGGAACTTCGGGCATGCTGGAGCCTGAGCAGCACGCCAGGCACCTCAGGGAGAGGAGGCTGGATGGGACAAGCGCCCCCAGTGCCTCTAGGACACCGCTCGCCCCCAGCCCAGCGGGCACCAGAGACTGCGAGCTGGGCAGACGGGGACCTGCGTCCCGAACACGTCCCCGCGATGCTGACAGTCGGTCCTGGGCCGACCGTGGCCGTAAGAGAAGGGCTGATGGGCAGCAGAGCTGGGCAGGGACCTGCTACCGTCAGTCTTGCCCGACAGTCTGGGGTGTCTCGGATTCCCACCTAGAGCTCGGTCGGTCTCTCTCCCCCCTCACACGGGCCTTGGCAAAGCCTGCCCCCGCGGCCTGTTAGGCACCCCAGTGTGTTCATGGAGATGACGCAGCGCGGGTCCCGGAGAACAGCCACGCTTCCTCCCCTTGTGCCGCTTACCTCCTGCCAAACCGCTGGGCCTCGCACAGCCGCTGCAGCTCCTGGGGCAGGGGGCCCCGGGGGCATCTCCCCCACCGACTACGCAGTTCGGGCTCCAGACGTGGCCACCACAACTTCCAGAAGACAGAGATCAGCCGTAAGCGGATCACGGGGGACTATACTGGGGCACCTCTTCAGTTCCTGCCGCCAAGATCCTGAACCCTGGAGTGCCCGCTGAAGACCGGAGTCCACCTGGCGGCTGTCACTGCTCAGCACAGCTCACGTCACCCGGGGCCTCACGAACTGGACTTAGGTCCAGGGCAGCTCCAGGAGGTTTTCCTCCTCCTCGCAGACGACCGCGAGCTAGCGTTTTACACACAGAACAGCTCTTGCAGTGAACTCCACCCAAACGAGCCACAGACTAAGAAAAAAGCGAAGACGCTCCGGGGGTACCGGCTCGAGTCCCGTGGCTGCCAGATACCGAGACCAGGAGAGCTGCGTGTTGTCAGGAGTCGAAGAAAGCACAAGGCACCCGGGGGGCTAGGTCGGTTCAGCGTCCGACTCTGGATTTCAGCTCAGGTCATGATCTCACGGTTCGTGGGATGGAGCCCCACTTTGGGCTCTATGCGGACGGCATGGAGCCTGCCTGGGACCCTCTCTCTCTCTAAGTAAACAAGGAAGCTGGCAAAGACACCCAAAGGAAGCCTGCACCCTCAACCTGAGGATGTCCAGCCACGCGAGGGCACCTCTCTTCTGAAGTTCTGAGGTGGTGGTGTGTCAGGACAACGGGTGGGACGGAAGTGGGGGAGCACAGGCAGTTAGGGTTCACCCTGAGCCAACGCGGAAGCACAGTGAGCCCAGGCGCAGGCCGGGCAGCCTGTCCTCCTGTGTTCGGATGGGTCGTATTTACCCCCTCCCCGTTTCTTCCAAATGACAAGACTGGATCCCCAGTCACCGTGCCAGCCCCAGGAGTGCCCTGAGAAGACGGCCGTGCCTACCAGAGCAGAGGTCAGGACTAGGGGGCACTCGGTCTGGCACGTGGTCAGGACCAGGTCTGCTGTCAGGGAGGGGTCTCTGCTTTGTGAACAGGCAGTGAGGAGCCCCTGGAGGAGAGAACATGCCAGAGGCTCAGTGGTTTGCGTGTCCACCCAGCCCTGGAAGACCCCGTGGCTTCAGAGCACAGATGAGAATGAGGATCTAGCCCATGTGGTCTGAGCAGGCGACTGGGGAGGTGCAGAGGGAGACAGTTACCCTGAAGAAGTGAACGGTGAGGTCATGGGTCAGGGCACTTCCGTGGGAGAAGTTTCTCTGCAAAAACAGCATAGGCCGGTGAGAAAGGAGCCAGCGGGGTGGGGGAGGGAGGGACGGTGTCTCTGCCGAGGCGTCGGCTATGGAAGAAAACACAGCTTGAGGACGGCAGCCAGATGGCAGCACCGCTGGCCGGAGGTGTAGCTTTCGTCCTGGCAAGCTGGCCCAGAACTTTCGTGACTCCCTGCTTCTCCACGTGGCTCCTCTGTGCAGCCAGAGCCCCCAGCCTGCCCTCTAGGGCCCCAACAAAGGCCAGGAGGTGAGGGCAGCACTCTGATGGCCCTGTTGCCGGGATCGCCTCTCCACCCCTGCTCTGTGTCCTCTGACCCGCCCGTTCCACATCTGCAGCCTCCACTGGGCCCACAGAGAGCTCTAGGGAAAGCCGGCTTTGCTCAAAACCCAAAGAACACCGAGGCTCATTCACCTGCCTTTTTTTTTTTTTAAAGATTTTTTTTTTTTTTATATTTTTATTTATTTCTAGGAGAGAGAAGAGAGAGACAGCGTGAGCAGGGGAGGGTCAGAGACTCTGACACAGGCTCCAGGCTCTGAGCTGGCTGTCAGCACAGAGCCCAACGCGGGGCTCGAACCCACGAACCGCGAGATCATGACCTAAGCGAAAGTCGGACGTTTAACTGACTAAGCCACCCAGGCGCCCCTCATCCCCCTGCCTTCTAAATCACCTTTTAAAGCCATGACTGAATAGGACCTTAGTTCAACCTCTAGTCATATTTGCACTTTAAAGAACGAAAAAGACACTTCAGGAGTAGAGGCTATTGTGAAGTGTGCAGAACATGCTTGTTCCTGGTCACCTCGCTGACGCAGACTGGACGCAGGCTTTCGTTTTTCTGGGTAAGACCGTGGGGCCCCTGACCCTGAACAACGTGTGCGCTGGACGCAGGGAACGCTGGTGGGAACACCGGTCCTCACGGCACCTCTGGCTTCTGTGCGCCCGGAATGTCAAAACTGGAAAGATGGCGACGCATGGTCTGCAAGACCTCATGGGTCCTGATGGCTGAAAGCTGAGGAGGGCTCCGAAGGGGACTGAAGCTCTTGCAGAAGGAACCACATCCGACGTCCGCACCTCGCTGGCCCTGGTTCTGGCTGCGGGAGGGCGCTGGGCACACAGAGGCCCCCGCTCCTGGCCCCCACCCCGTCCTCAGCAAGCCCATGTGGTCTGCGCACACACTCAAGCAACTGGCTCCAGTGACCACAAGTGCACTTGTGCATCTTCAAGAAGAGGCAGCCCTCGGTGATCGGTCACCCCCGTCCCTGCGTCCCCAGGTCGCTCACCCACACCTACCAGCTCCGAGTTGACCAAGTGGAAGAACTCCGTGCAGTCAGGGGCGGTCGGCTGTCTGGCTTGGGGGCTGCCGACGACAACAGACGGGGACAGACCGAGGAGGATCCTGGCAAAGAAGGGCTGCATGAGCGGGGGTGGCGTGGCCTCACTGCACTCCCTGGGAGCTCAGACTCGGGTCTGTAACCCCCCTCCCGACTCGCTCTTGGAAGCGGAGTCCTTACCTGGGACTGTGTCCCGCTGGGCCACTGGCGACATGCACAGGGTCTTACCCCACAAACCACTTGTAAGCTGGCCCATAGCCAAGTGACAGGTGCCCCACAGTCTGACCCAGCTGCTCCCTAGAACTGGGGAGGGACAGGACCCTCTACTCCTAAATGTGGCTACAGTGAGGATCTCTGAGCACACGTGGTTTTCCTTATTCTGACACGAATTCTTTAGGCTACATCTTTCAGCAAAGCAGCTCCTGAGTCTGAAGAGAAAGGCCTTATCCAAGGCTTCAAACCCTGCTCTCTCCATGGGAACACCAAGCAGAAGATGCTATCACAGGCTGGGGACAGGGGACAGAAACAAGTCATCGGCGAAAAGGAAATTCAACTTAAGACAGACAGATAGTCCACCCAGTACTGCGTTACCGTTTGTACACGAGCAGCTCCCGCTGCCTCTGCAGTCGCGTGGCCACATCCCACCCACGAGCCAGAGCCTGGAGCCGTCTGCGGAAAACGGCGAAGAGGAAGTGCCCCCGCGGAGGAGAGTGACCCGGGGGAGCCACCGGGCCCTGCTCCAGACCAGCAGCCATCTCCTGGAGAAAAACCAGCCCAAAAGGTTCACATAACTTGAATCGCTGGTTCCAGATGGTTGTCCCCAAAAGTGAAAACACAAAGTCCTCAGGGATGATTGTCAGCCCCAGTCAAGACTCTGAAATGAGGTTGGGTGGGCTTCGGAGAGTTTCCTAAGAGGAGCTAGGAATGATTGGGACAAGCCTTTTTACTTGGAAATCACTGAAAAATTCCAAAAATAGAATAAGAATGGTACAAAAACACACCTCTACCCAGACTCACCGATGGCTAACATTTTACTGTTTATCATTTGCTCTTTTACTACACATACATACTACACATTAGTGTACACGCACATAATTTGAGGGTGAATTACGGACAGAAGGTATGTACACAGTAAGCATTCAATAAATGTCTGCTGACGGAAAGCACAAAGTGTGTGCAGCATCTGCGCGCATTCAGATGCACCCGCTTCAAAGCGTCGCCCCTGCCACGCGCGGCCCCAGCCCAGGACGCGCCGTCGGCCCTTCACGCTCACTCTCCCTACAGCAGCCAGTGATGACGGATGTGGCGACAGAAGGGCAGGATGAGGGGGCTCGGGTCCCTTTGTGTGTTTCCTTCACTGGTAGGTTACGTTCGCCCAGTGTCCAAACCTCGCCCTCCGTGACTTCTGTCCCTCCCCACATTCTCTCTAGTCAAGCACTTGAAAAGCAGAAACACTGCCAGGAGGCACGAAACCCACACACGGAACCCTGTTAACAAGGAGCTGCCTGTGTACTTCCAGAGGCCCGGGCTCCCCGTGTCCGCCGCGGGCGTGGAAACCAGAGGGCACGGTCCGCACTTTGACCCCAGAGCCCACTCACAGGGTCCGACGTCAACCACCCTGAAAAGACTGGAGACAAACAGGTACTCTGACTGAAAACGATACTTTTCACTTCAAAATGAGAGCCCCATTTCCACGCCTTCTTAAGTGCACCTGCCTTGGTGAGAAGAACCCGCCAGGCCGTGGAGGTGCCAGGTGACCCTGTGCCAACAGTCTCCAAGCCCCCCTTTGCCAAGTGGAGGGCTATCTACCTTACTTCTCACAGCCAGGCATCCAAACAGAGCAGCCAGGAGCTAACAAGCAGAAAGTGGTGGGGAGCGATCATTTACTACTGAAGCTGCTATTTGCTCACTCGCCTCTATTTTTAAATTTTAAATGTGCCAGAGCCTAGAGATGGTTCTGGAACCACAGCTTTTGTTTCTGCATTTTTTTGTGATACTCACTGGTGAAGTGAGCACACCATCACTCTGGGTCTGGGCCATTCCATACGTGACGTGGGTTTTCATTCTGCAGGGGTGCCTTAGGACCTGTTACAGATATTTCTAGCAATATCTGGGGGTGCCTGAGTGGCTAAGTCAATTGAGTGCCTGACTCGGCTCAGGTCATGATCCCAGGGTTGCGGAATCTAGCCCCACATCAGGCTCTGCAATTAATGTGGAGCCTTTTTGGGATTCTTTCTCTCCTGGGTGGCTCAGTTGGGTAAGCATCTGACTTCAGCTCACTTCATGATCTCACGGTTTGTGGGTTCAAGCCCAGCATCAGGCTCTGTGGTAACAGTGTGAAGCTTGCTTGGGATTCTGTCTCCCTTTCTCTCTGCCACTCCTCCACTTGCATGCTCTCTCTGTCTTAAAATAAACTTAAAAAAAAAAAATTCTCTTTCTCTGCCCCTCTCCCTGGTTCATGTTCTCTGTAAAATAAAAAATAATAATAAAAATAAACCTTAATAGCAGATGACATAAATGCAGTGAAACACTGAGTTTTACATGTTCTAGCTCACCTGCAGTCTGGAAAAAATATCCCGATTTCCTGTGCAGCCACTGAGAACCAAATCCGAATTCTCTGAGTAGCTGTAACTTCTCGAACTGTAACAAAAACACAACAAAAGCCTCCTAAGTATCTCCTGATGTGCAGGCATTCCAGCTTCTCCTCCTGCCTCCAGAGTGGCATGTGGTCGCAGAGCCAGGAAGTACCAGAGGACCAGGTGACACCCACAGTCATCAACAACAAACAACAAAACCTGAAACAAAATACCAACAACCCCAATCTAGCAACATCTGATAACAATTACGTATCAGGACCAAGTGGGATTTACTCTAAGAATGCAAGGTTGGTTCAACACCCTAAAATCAATGTAATACACATATATACAGAATAAAAATACAAAACCATGTGATTATCTCAATAGATACAGATAAAACATTAGACAAAATTCAGTACCCTTTCATGATAAAACACTCAACAAATTAAGAGTAGGAAGGAACTTCCTTAACCTGATAAAGGCCATCTATGAAAAACCCACAGGGGCACCTACGTGGCTCGGCTGGGTGTCCGACTTCAACTCAGGTCATGATCTCACAGTTCGTGGGCTCAAGCCCCGCGTCAAGCTCTGTGCTGACAGCTCAGAGCCTGGACCTGCTTTGGATTCTGTGTCTCCTCCTCTCTCTATCCCTCCCCATTCGTGCTCTGTCTCTCTCTCTCAAAAATAAACATTTTTTTAAAAATTAAAAAAAAAAAGAAAAACCCACAGTTCACATCATACTTAATGATGAAACACTGAAAGTTTTCCTCCTAAGATCAGAAATTTTAAGATGAAGTTGTCCTCTCTCACCACTTTCATACAACATTACACTGGAAGTTCTAGCTGGACCATTCACTCAGAAAAAGACATAAAAGACACCCATATTGTAAAGGAAAAGGTTAAACCATCTCTATTCAGAGATGATATGATCTTGTATATAAGAAACCCTAAATACTCCCCATTAAAAAAAAAAAGCTATTAAATAAGTTCACAAAGTTGCAGAACATGATATCAATACACAAAAATCAGTTTTACTTCTCTATACTACCAATGAATAATCCAAGAATGGAATTAATTCCCTTTTTAATGGTGTTAGAATAAAATACTTGAAGATAAATTTAACCAAGGAGGTAGAAAACTTGTACACTGAGAACTAGAAAACGTTGAAAAAATTACAGAAGACCTAAATAAATGGAAAAACAGCCCATCTTCATGGATAGGAAGATTCAGTATTGTTAAAATGTTAATAATGCTAACATGCATCTACAGATACAGTACAATCCTATCAGAATCCCAGCTGGTTATGTTGAAACTGACAAATTGATCCTGAAATTCAGATGGAATTGCAAAGAACCTAAAATACCCAAAACAATCTTGGGGGGGGGGGGTGGAAGTGGGGGGAATTCACAGTTTTGATTTAAAATTTGCTACAAGTTTTCAGTAACCAAAACAGTGTGACACTGGCATAAGAATAGACATATACACCAACTTACTAAAAAGAGATCAGAAACAAATTTTCACATACATGGTTAACTGGTTTTCAGTAAGAACGTCAAGACCATTTAATGGGTAAGGACAGTTTCTTCAACAAAACGTGCTGGGACAACTGGATGTCATGCAAAAGAATGAAGAGGGATTCCTTACTTATTCCATATATAAAAATTAACTCAAATTAATCAAAGACCTAAATGAAGAGCTAAAACTAAAAAGATAAATTGGACTTGATAATTTATTATTTTTAAATTTTCTAATATTTACTTATTTTTGAGAAAGCAAGAGACAGAGCATGAGCAATGGAGGGGCAGAGACAGAGGGAGACACAGAATCCAAAACAGGCTCCAGGCTCCGAGCTGCCAGCACAGAGCGCAACACAGGGCTTGAAACCATGAACCGTAAGATCATGACCTGAGCCGAAGTTGGATGGTTGACCAACTTCGGTGCCACTCAGGAGCCCCAGAATGGGAGAAAATATTTGCAACTCATGTCTGATAAGGGCCTGGTATATAGAATACATAACACAACTTCGTAAAACATCCCAATCTTAAAATGGGCAAAGGATGGGACGTTTTCAAAGACGAGACACAAACCGTCAACCAGCAAATGAAAATATGCTCAACTTCATTAGCCACCAGGGAAAAACAAATCAAAACCATAATGAAATATATCAGTGCTGTCCATTAGGATGGGTATTAGCAAAAGATAATGATAACTACGTTGGTGATAATGGGGAGGAACTGGAATCCTCCGATACTGCTGGTGGGAATGTAAAATGGCCAGTTTTGCAAAACAGTCTGGGAGTTCCTAAAAAAGTTAAAGTATAACACCGCATACCCCATTCTTAGGGATATGCCCAAAAGAAATTAAAACACAGGACCACAAAAAAACCTGTACACAAATGTTCATAACACAATTCTTCATGGCCAAAAAGTGAAGTCCCAAAAGTCCATCAACTAGTGAATAAACAAAATGTCCATCCTTCAATGGGATACTACTCAGTAATAAAAGTTCTGATACATGCTACAATATACAATTTTTAAAATTTTATTTAAATCTAAGTTAACATATAGCGTAGTAATGATTTCAGGAGAATTTAGTGACTGATCACTTACAACACCCAGTGCTCATCCCGAAAAGTGCCTTCCTTAACGCCCATCGCCCACTTACCCCCACCCAACACCCTCCAGAAGCCGTTTGTTCTCTGTGTTCAAGAGTCTCTTATGGTTTGACTCTATCTTATTCTCCCTTCTCTTCCCCTATGTTCCTCAGGCAAGGAATGGAGACACTCCCTGATTTCAGTCTGTGCGTGCGTACACACACACACACACACACACGTCTATCCCTCCCAAGGACAGGACGACTGGCCCCACCGTCAGTCTGCCCGGCGGCGGACATGCTACTCTTGCCACTGGGCACTCGCGGGAAGGGCTCCAGTGCTACCGGCCGTGTTGAGGCGGAACATGAGTGTGTAAGAGTTTTGCTGACCAGCCGATGTGTTTACAGACCCTTGTGGAGAAGGGCGCGCGCGGTGGGAAAAGTAAAGGCATCTGTGCTGCACTGCGTCTTCAGTAACCATTTGCATGAACCGTTGTTTCTTAGAGGGTAACAAGATTGGTTTTCTAGGATTTAAGTAATAGATTACCCAAACCGCGTGGAAAATGGGATTGATTTTACTCCTCATTGACACAGCAATACGAGGAGAAAGACACTAACAGCCCAGCCTGCACAGCACAGGGAACTCTGCCGCACGGCAGCAAGGCCATGTTCGCACTGCAGGCCCCCAACATGGTGGCAGTGGCCGGCCCACTTCTTCCACCCTTCACACTTAACGACCCACATGTCGGGTGACAAAGCGGAAAGACGAGTCACTGCCACTGGCAAATCTACACACAAAGAAAATGGATTCAGAAAGCTTACCTTTACTCCGAATAGACTCAGACTGGCTACCAGGAAATGTTCAATCATGCTTTGTCTAACGCAAAGTAGACGCAGGTCAAAACACCTTCTTAGAAGGCCCCAAAGTAAAAGTAAGATGCTTTTTGGCATCAGCATTCCCAACCTTTGGCAGAAGTCTATCAGCACGTCGACGAGAAGTGTGCATGCTGCCTCCAGGTCCCCGTCGCAGCCCCCCGCAGCAGACGGCTTGGGGAGGAAGTGCTCGTGGATCGCCCACTGGTGGAAGTCCCACCTGGAACAGCAAACACCAAGGTCTGTGCTGAGAAAGGTGATCAGCCAGTGGTTCCCGCAGCTGGGACGTGAGCCCACAGCCAGGGACACAGCAACGGCAGGTGGCGAGATCTGGGGCTTCTGGGTGCAGGAAGGCCCTGTGCTGCAGCCCAGGCCTCCTCAGGGGCCATCCCCTGGGTCATGATTCCAGCATCCATCAGCAAAGGTGTCCAGATCTGGACCAGACTCTGCAGGTGCTCACGGGGAAGACCCTGAGGGGCACTAACTAACGCTGCAGCAAGAGAGGCACAGGACACGTCATTCTATTCGTGCAGAAGGAGCCACGCCTGAGTAAGACACTTCCGCACCTGCAAGTGGGCAAGGGACAGAGGTTGTAAAGGGCTGGTGCCGCACGCAAGCCATCTGACACTGTATTTGAGTATTACCTGTGGAAGGAAAAAAGGTCTAAGCACAACTTAACACATGGCGACCTAAGGGTAAGAAATGCGTGTTATGGATCCTCACACCAGAAAATGAATTCCTTCTTTTCCTTTTCCCTGTGGAAAGAGAGGAAGGCGGGCAGGGAGACCCCAGGGCGCGTGCACCTGCGCAGAAAGCACTCACAGCTATTTGCACACAGACCCTCCACCTGGTTGGAAAAGCAGTTCTTCCTTCCACAGCTCGGACTTCCTCTCAGTGTGTCTACTCGCTCCCTCTGCAATCTGATACTGCAGGACCCCCCTCCGTAGGTGAGACGGGGGCTCAGACCTTAACTGACCTGCTCCAGCAGCTCGGAGCCTGTAGTGCGTGCAGCACCGGTCAGCCCTCTGTCTGCCCAGCCGGCCTCTGTGCACTTCGCACACTCGAGGCAGAAGTGTGGCGGCCATGCCGGCTGAGAACTCTCGAAAGCTCCCTCAGCAGGAGCGCCGACAGCCAGGACTCCACCACAGTCCCTCAGCACACCTGCCTTCCCTGCTCTTCTCCCACCTGAGGGATGTACTCTGCTCCTGCTGCCCCCCCCACACCCCGGGTCCTGAGTTTCCCGCCCCCTGCTGCCCCCCCAGGTCCTGAGTGTCCCGCCCCCTGCTGCCCCCCCCACTGTCCTGAGTGCCCCGCCCCCTGCCGCCCCCCCCCCCACTGTCCTGAGTGTCCCTCCCCCTGCTGCCCCCATTTTATCCATCTCCCTCCTGGCCACCCTGCCCGCTCAGGTATACACTGCGAGTGTCCAGTCACGGGCGCTGGGGCAGAAGTACACAAAGGTGCCAGATGGGCAGGCATGTCTCATCACAATGCACTTCCCAGTTTCTAGAACATTCTAGAAGTGCCTGGCACACAGGAGTGCAATAAATGTTTCTTGAAGGAATGAATGAATGAAACTGTGCTCATAGGTTATATGTCAAGTTGAACACTGAGATGTAAGGACAAGACAGACTTTATTTTTATTTATTTTTTTTATTTATTTCTAGAGAGAGAGAGTGAGCAGGGGAGGGTCAGAGAGAGAGGGAGTCACAGACTGAAACAGGCTCCAGGCTCTGAGCTGGCAGTCAGCACAGAGCCCGACGCGGGGCTCGAACCCACGAACCATGAGATCATGACCTAAGCGAAAGTCAGACGCTTAACTGACTAAGCCACCCAGGCGCCCCAAGACAGACTTTAAAACAACGCAGAAAACCTTGTAACACAGTCAAGACTTACCTTTCTGTATCTGAAAGACAATCGGCCTCAGGTTGAATTTCTAGTTCCAGCTGTAACCAGTCTCTGTAAGTTAACTGAGAGAAAAAAGGACCAGATGAATACCAGTGAGCATGGGACGCAGAAACCTCCAGTCAGCTTTGTAAGTCTGCTGTCACTGTCCAGCCAATGTCACACGTCACAGCACAAAGACTCATGGGAAGGCTTCTGTGCCTACACTGGTCTCCATTCTCAGCCACTTCCCGCTAACTGACTGCAGTGCTGGCGCCAAGCCCTGAAGTCAATCTGCGGTGCCTCAAACCTCTCAGGTTACTGCACAACAGCAGCAGGAAGGAAATCATCTTCTAGTTCACTTGAGTTGGGCAAATTAACCAGAGAATGAATGTGGGATAGTAACACACTTCGAGCATTCATGATAGCACATTTGCCAATTTGAAATTCTTGGGGCACCTGGGTGGCTGAGTCAGTTAAGCGTCCAACTTCGGCTCAGGTCATGATCTCACAGTTTGTGGGTTTGAGCCCCACGTCGGGCTCTGTGCTGACAGCTCAGAGCCTGGAGCCTGTTTCAGATTCTGTGTCCCCCCTCTCTCTGCCCCTCCCCTGCTCATGCTCTGTCTCTCAATAATAAACAAAAATGTTTAAAAAAATGTAAAATTCTTGGGGGGCGTCTAGAGGGCTCAGTCAGTTAAGTGCCTGACTTGGTTTCAACTCCAGTCACAATCTTACAGTTCATGAGTTCGAGCCCCATGTTGGGCTCTGCACAGTGTGGAGCCTCCTTGGGGTTCTCTCCCCCTCTCTCTGTGCCTCCCCAACTCTCTCCCTCTCTCAAAAACTAATAAACTTTAAAAAATATTTAAAAAAATTCTTGGAACAATTCCACTCATTAACATGAATCTCAAAGCCTCACACTGTGTGTAAAAAGGCACATCACAGACACAGGCGGGCAGTGCTCCCTCTTTGTAAAGACCCAGGCCCGGCAGCATGGGGGGCGGGGGTCTCTGCTCAGGGACAGATCAAGGAAAACCAAGGGCAGCACGTCCGTGATCCCCACAGACGGGACAGCAGCCCTGAGCAGACCCCTCTGTGTGCTGTGAGGGCGGCCAGTGTTCCCGGGCCGTGACTCATTTTGTCCCACAAAGACTGTCACACCTCCTCTGGGGCGATTTGTGTAATTAACAACAGAATTGAACAAATATATAAAAAACTGAGAATTTTTTCTCTAAAGACCAAAATAAACAGACAAACATCCAAGGGATGAAAGAAAAGTCCGGAAAAGGCAGTGCGCTGGGAGCGCGGACACATGGGCTGGAGGTCACGGTGATGACGCCCAAAGATGCCCCACTCCAACAGGTGCCCGCAAGTACGTGTAAAATATGCTTCTATTCACCCTTAAAATCTTCCACAAAATGTTAGTGCTGAGGGAACCTGGCAGAGTAGAAACAATCTTTCTAGTTTCTTAGAATTTTGTGTGAATCCACAACGAACCCAATAATGATTTCCACCAAATCACTTGTGTGCTGCTCCAGGGTCACTGGCCCTGTGCCTGCCCACCACGTCCTCAGGGGGGCCCCAGTCTTGCCGCAAACTCTTCTGAGGTAGGACGAGGTGAGGAACAGGAAAGGGGCAGTAGAACCTACATGAAATTCTTTCTCCTTCAGCAGCTCCTGGAAGGGCCTCTGTCTCCACAGCCGGAGGGCGGCTTGCTGCCAGTCTGCGGAGGGCTGGAACAGGGGCCTCCAGGGAGGGCCGGCCGTGTCCTCCTGACAGACGGGATCTCGGGCTTCTGAGAACAGTCTGAATACGATGAACTGAAACTGAAGAGAGACGGCGTCACGTTTGCTGTAAGCAGGTGAGAAAATACGCCAGTAACCCGGCCGTGCACGGCGGGGCAGGGCAGCCCGGAGACCCCGTGGTTGTGCCCCCAGAGCTGCCCCGGACCGTGTTCAGCTACAGGCGGCACTTCGGTCAACAGCCCTGTCTGTAAATCTCAACACCCGAGGCCGAATTCCGGGTTCTAAGCTCCCTCCGCATGGCGGCGCTGATCCCACAGCAGCCGGACGGTTGCTGGCTCTGGTACTTCCGCGGAGAGAGGGTGCCAGCCGCACAAGCAGAGCACTGTGTCACTGAATTAATTTGTCTTTGCCGTTAGGAGATTAGGCTTTTTCCCATGTTTACTGAGCTGTAGACGGCTCTCGGGAGCCGGGGGAGGGCACAGGGACACGTGTAGTCAGCGACTTGCTGGCCTGGGCCACTTCTCCTAATCGCTGTCCCATGTTTCAAGATGTGGCAGCTGGGACTAAGTTCCTCCATGCCGGTGATGGGGGCACAAGCGTGCCCGAGCCCACCTAAACCCCCCGGGCAGGGACAGGTGGGTCCTAACGGTGCTCAGAGTGGACACGTGCATCGACCATCGTGGGATGTTCCTTAAAGCTCAGCCCAAGTGAGAATGCTGGTTCTCAGTGTAACTTCAAGTTCACTCTTGCCACTGAGGCCTCGGACGCACTTTTTTTTTTTTTTAATGTTTTATTCATTTTTAGGAGAGAGGGAGAGAGACAGCGTGAGCAGGGGAGGGTCAGAGAGAGAGGGAGACACAGACTCTGAAACAGACTCCTGGCTCTGAACTGGCAGTCAGCACAGAGCCCGACGCGGGGCTCAAACCCACAAACCGCGAGATCGTGACCCAAGCGAAAGTCGGACGCTTAACCGACTAAGCCACCAGGCGCCCCTCAGACGCACATCTTTAAACTTCTCTGGTCTCGTAACAAGCATTCGAGAGATAGGGAAGTCTTCAGGCAAAACTCAGAGTTCTTCTTTAATTTTTTTAATGTTTTATTTAGTTCTGAGAGAGACTGCGTGAACAGGGGAGGGTCAGAGAGAGAGGGAGACACAGAATCTGGAACAGGCTCTGGGCTCTGAGCTACCTGTCAGCACAGAGCCCGACGTGGGTCTCAAACTCACAAACCGTGAGATCATGACCTGAGCTGAAGTTGGACGCTTAACTGACTGAGCCACCCAGGTGCCCCAGAGTTTTTCTTTAAGTAGAAAGAAACTTTTCATGAATATTTACCTTTTAATATACCTATTTTACAAAAATCAGTATCTGTTTCTTTAAAAAAAAAAAAAATGGGATGTGGCTCAGTCAGTTAAGCGTCAGACCCTTGATCTTGGCTCAGGTCACAACCTCAGAGTTTGCAAGTTCGAGCCCCACACTGGGCTCTGCATGGACAGAGCAGAGCCTGCTTGGAATTCTCTCTCTCCCTCTCTTTCTGCCCCTCCCCAGCTTGCTCTCCCTCTTTTAAAAAGATAAATAAATAGAAAAAAATTTTAAAAACCAAATAAGCATTTAGAATGAATAAGTAAATAAATAAGGAAGGAAGGAAGGAAGGAGGGGCATCGTTGTCTGTGTCATGTTTCACCCCTTCGTCTCAACTCTGAGAAGAGAAGGAAAAGGCCGTGTTCAGCCCAGACAACTGAGGCACTTCCCAAGAGTGACCAGACAACTGGCGAGCCTGGGCACGCAGAGACAGGGGTGCAGACAAGAGACCTCCGACGTTTGGCTATAAACCCGTGCGAAACGGGAGACTCCAAGCATGGGCAAAGGGACCACACAGACTCACCTTCTTCACGAGGCCTGGAGACAAGCAGCTGCACACAGTATCTTGTGATGAGGAAGAAAACTTACACAGAGAGTACGAAATCACCGCTGTACAAAATCTGAAAACAGAAAACAAATAATGTAGAAATGCAATCCATGCAAAATAAGGAATGAAATATTAAGTGTGAATTTCTTGAAAGTGAACTGAGTGCATTCTAAACCAGATGGCCTGAGGATTAGTCCCTGGCCCCAGCTCCAGGCCAGGCCAGCTCCCACGGCCTCGAGGAAATGTCCCCCTGTCACAACCACAGATCTGAGCTCTTTCTACACTGAAGGCACAGACACAGAAAACACAAATAGCAAGGTTGTGGAAATAAGGGCTTGCTGTCACTGCACGTTGAAGAGCCAAAGCCAGAACAGGGCGCCTGGGTGACTCGGTTGAGCGTCCTGCTTGGGCTCAGGTCATGATATCAGTTCGTGGGTTCATGCCCCACGTCAGGCTCTCTGCTGTTAGCACAGAGCTTGCTTCAGATCCTCTGTCCCCTTCTCTCTGCCCACAACAGTCTTCAGGACAGGACCGAAGCACACCCAAGTTTATACTCAGCCTCAGGGAGAGCCTTTGCCTGCCTGTGGTGGGTTGTGAAGCCCGGATGGAAAGGGCCCCGGGAGAAGAGACTGACCATGGGGCCCAGGGAAAGTTAGGACTGACACCAGGGGGGCCTGCCTGTCCGTGCTGCCCAAAGTCCTAAGAGGCTGGAGCCATCTGCCTCCCACTGGGGGCGGCACAGGCGTCGGGGACCCTGGTCCAGAGGAGGTGTCGCAGCCCTTCCCTCTCCCTGCTCGGTTACAGTCTCTCAGGCCTTCTGGCAGTTCTTTCCACAAACTGCAACTCCAGACCCTGCGCACAACCCTCCCTGGAGCCTCGCTTGGTGTACCTTGGACACGCATCGCCTAAAACCCCAGGGATGGGTCTGACCACATGCCAGGCGCCCCCAAGACAAAATCCAAAAAGCTCACAGCTTCACAACATGGAAGGGCATCTATAGTCTTGTTAACATCTTCGGAGGCAGTTTATAAGGTAGCACTATCTCATTTTTGTGAACAAAGAAACACAGACACATAAAAACAATGTTAAGACTCTAGAATGATTATCCAGGGAGTGTGCCTGTTTTGGCCAATTGTGCCCGGTGCGTGCGTGTGACTTCTGTTAGGCATGGGGAGCCACGGCAGATGTGACTGTGTCTGGTGAGTGCGTGTGACTTCTGTCAGGCATGGGAAGCCACGGCGGATGTAACTGTGTCTGGTGTGCATGTGACTTCTGTCAGGCGTAGGGAGCCCACAGCAGATGTGACCGTGTCTGGTGAGTGCGTGTGACTTCTGTCAGGTGTGGGGAGCCACAGCAGATCTGACTGCATCCAGTGAGTGCGTGTGACTTCTGTCAGGCGTGGGGAGGCACGGCGGATGTGACTGTGTCTGGTGTGTGCGTGTGACTTCTGTCAGGTGTGGGGAGCCACGGCAGATGTGACTGTGTCTGGTGTGCATGTGAATTCTGTCAGGTGTGGGGAGCCACGGCAGATGTGACTGTGTCTTGTGTGCGTGTGAATTCTGTCAGGCATGGGAAGCCACGGCGGATATGACTGTGTCTGGTGTGTGTGAGACTTCTGTCAGGTGTGGGGAACCACGGCAGATGTGACTGTGTCTTGTGTGCGTGTGAATTCTGTCAGGCGTGGGAAGCCACGGCAGATATGACCGTGTCTGGTGAGTGCGTGTGACTTCTGTCAGGTGTGGGGAGCCACAGCAGATGTGACTGCGTCCGGTGAGTGCATGTGACTTCTGTCAGGTGTGGGGAGCCACAGCAGATGTGACTGCGTCCAGTGAGTGCGTGTGACTTCTGTCAGGTGTGGGGAGCCACGGCAGATGTGAGGGGCAGCTCACTTCAGGCAGAAGAGCAAGGTCTCCGAGGTCCTAAACGTCAGGAGGCTGCTGAAGAACTCTGCGATGGACATGCCCTCAGCGGGGGCAGGAAGGCCCACAGGCACCACAGGGCACGCAGGCCCGGACTCAGCCAGGTGGACGACCAGGGCGGCCAATCCCAGCACGTGGGAGCCACTCAGGCTTGGGCCCTGCAACGGGAGACAGTGTTTCTGCAGGAAGGAGGGCAGAGCCCACTTCCCAGGCGGAGAGAGGCGGCAGCCGTACCTGGTGACGGAGCAGCTGGCAGAGCCTGGTGAGCACGATGGGGAGGAGCCTGCGTCCACACATGGCTGACACTAAGCGAGAAGCCCACGGGCCCTGCCTGCAGAGACAGCCATCAAAAGCAGCAGTCGGGCCAGTCCTGGCCCTGCACGGCCGTCCCAGATTTTGGTGGACGAGCAGCCACCAGGTCCTGAGGAAGACGCAGGCTGTTCCCTGAGCAGCGGGGTCTCCGTGGGGACGCCTGACCTCGGCTGAGTGTCCGCCCGACACCAGGCAGCACTGCCCCTTCACCCCACCCGGGACCCCCGCGCAGTACAGAAGGCAGGATCCAGGACCCAGGGTCGGAGCCGGGCGAGCAGTGGACAGACATGCGCCTCGCACAGAAAACAGGGAGAAGGCCCCTTCGCCAAGGGAGGCCTGCTCCGAGCACCCTGGCCACCCCCCGCAGAGTCCCCACCACCCAGAGAAAACCCCAGCCTCTACCTGGCGGGCGGGGCGGAGCTGGAAGCCACAATCAGGTTCTGACAGAAACATGTCAGCAGGAGGTCTGCAACCTGAGAGAGACAGACGGTCACCAAGGGCTCAGCGTCCCTGAGAGCTACACATGTGAGGCTAAGCAACCATCTGCACCAGCAACACGGCAAGACAGGCCCGCATCTGGGAGGAAACCGCCACATCGGCCGGCACCAGAGCCCCACTCCCAAATCCCGGAGGGCGGCAGGCCAGGCATCATGAAATTTCACAGCAGAGATGAGGCTCAGCACACTTGTCTACGCAGGGCCAAAGAGTAACTGTTTCAGGGTCTGGGGCCCCAGATGGCCTCCGCTGTGTGTTTTTCTTTAGAAATTTTAAAAGTTCTGGGGCGCCTGGGTGGCTCAGTTGCTTAAGCGTCTGACTTCCGCTCAGGTAATGATCTTGCGGGTTGTGGGTTCCAGCCCCGCGTCGGGCTCTGTGCTGACAGCTCAGAGCCTGGAGCTGCTTTGGATTCTGTGTCTCCTTCTCTCTCCCCCACCCCCTCACTGGCACTCTGTCTCTCTCAAAATAAACATTAAAATTTTAAATAAAGAAATGTTAAAAGTCTGTACACAAACAGGCCAGGGCTGAGCCCGACTCCTGGGCATCTTGTTTCCACGCACACAGGTCACCCGCAAGACGCGGGCGGGGAGGAGGCCCGTGCCCCCAGGACTTCGTACACAACGCGGCCGCGCTCGGCAGCGTCCGAGAGGCACCCCGTACTCACCTGCCCTTCTTGTTGCTCCAGGCCCGGCGCGAGGACACTGAGCTGGATCTGCCATCCCCCGGGGCTGCCGTCCTCCTCAGCACGGCCCCAGGCAGAGCCAAGCTGCTCAGAAACAACTGCCACTCGAGCAGCCACGACTGCATGCAAGGAAACCCGGTTAGACGAGCGGGGAAATGTGGGTGCCCTGCCCGGGGCGGCGCTGCTGCTTGCAGCGGCCCCGTCTCAGGGGCAGCGCCGGCCACGAACCCTGGGGCCACGCTCCTCCGCCACCCGGGCGATGGGGACCTTGCCGTGGACGAGCACGTGACAGCTGTCCTCACCACCAGGGGTCACCTGGGGTTCCCTGCGCCCCGAGGACATGTTCTCCATGTGACGTCGCAGGCCAACCCTCCCGCACGGCACTGCGTCTGCTCCATGCCCCACTGTCGGCTCTGCCGATGGCGAGGAGCCACAGCCTCTGGGCACCGGAGGTCAGGGGCCAGGCAGGCCGACTGTGCTGGCCGGAAATGGAAACCCTCCTGCGAGAAACAAGGCTGACGCAGACCTCAGCGCCCTCCATGCCAAACTCCCCAGGAGTGCAGCTGGCAAAGCCTCGCCTCTGGGTCGTGGATGAGATGCTACATGGAGCAAAGGAAACTAAGGCAGCATCGTTAATATTTCCTCTGTGAGGCTCTCACAGGACATTCTGTCCTGGTGTGAATAAAATGGGTTTATAATGTATAAAAACCTACTACAGTTACCCAGTAAAACTATGGTTTATTTCTATTAGATTCTATATTTTTCGTAACAAAAATCTCCAAAGTATGGGAAGTTAGTGTTTTATTTTATTGACTGACATGCCCCACAATGTGATGTGAATCATTAATCCTCTTACTCCACAAATAAACATTCATGATGATTTTACAGAAAATAGTCGCACAGAAGCAGAGGCCCAGCGTTTAAGTGTTATAACTACTCAGTGAAGAAAGAAACCCCCACGCCTTAGCAACGTTAGTTTCTTCCTCCCCATTACCTGTTCTGGTAGGATCTCAAACAGCAGAGTATTCAATTCGGTTAAGGGTCTGTGACAACCTGAACGACAGACCCATCCCCCGTCCCATCCCATGGGATAGGAGGCCACGTGCTCGGCATCCGCCAGCACTGTGGCCAGGCTTAACTACCACAGCCACTGAGCCCTGGCCACAGCCGGACACGAGCTCATCCCTCCAACACCCAGCGCGGACAGCCCTGCGCACAGCTGCGTCCTCACCGTCATGCTGGGTGGGGTCTGTCATTGCAGCTCTGAGTGCTCGTAGCGCAGCCGCGAGTGGTCCCAAGGGCTCTTCCCCACAGACAGCCTCCACCTTCATTCCTGGGGCTGCATCTGAGGAACGACAGGACACACACAGCTGGATGTGGCTTCTCCGTGTTGATGGCAGACAGAGGCACCAGGGCTCCATGAAGCACGCGCTGCTGGGCGCTCGTCACTGGTATCAGAAACTTGTCCATAAATGTATTAAGAAAAAACATGATTCGGGGCAACTGGGTGGCACAGTCAGTTAAGCATCTGACTTCAGCTTAGGTCACAATCTTACAATTCGTGTGTTCGAATATTAGCTCTGCTTCAGAGCCTGTGTCTTCCTCTCTCTCTGCCCCTCTCTTGCTTGAGCACACGTGCTCTATTCACTCTCTCTCTCAAAAATAAATACACATTAAAAAAAATTTGTAATTAAAAAAAGAAAAAAAACCCCACATGGTTCTGTGCACAACATTGCCATGAGGGTGAAGAGCACATATGTAAAGAAAAAGGACCAGAACCATGGCATGGAGGTTGGGGGGGTATAAAGAATTGTGGATGGGTGGGGCGCCTGGGTGGCATAGTCAGTTAAGCGTCCGACTTTCGCTTAGGTCATGATCTCACGGTTCGTAGGTTCGAGCCCCACGTCGGGCTCTGTGCTGACTGCCAGCTCAGAGCCTGGAGCCTATTTCAGAGTCTGTATCTCCCTCTCTCTCTGACTCTCCCCTGCTCATGCTGTCTCTCTCTCTCCTAGAAATAAATAAAAAATAAATAAAAAAAGAATTGTGGATGGGTCATAATTTATTCCATTTCTAATCTTTTAAGTAATGTCATATTGTTTTTTATAACAGGATGTTGGAAAAAGAAGATCAAAGGAAAAAAACCTAAAAATATACAAAAGATGATTACCAGCTCTCAACATGTTTACTAGATTCGTAAAAAAAAAAGATCATATATTTGTAAAAGATATTTCCTCAAATAAAAATCTTTTAACTTAAAATTTTCTTTAACTTAGAAAAAAGTTTTTTAATGTAATTTATTTTTGAGAGACAGAGTGTGAATGGGCGAAGGGCAAAGAGACAGGGAGACACAGAATCCAAAGCAGCTCCAGGCTCTGAGCTGTCAGCACAGAGCCCAACACCAGGCTCAAACCCACAAAGCGCGGATCATAACCTGGGTCAAAGTTGGGTGCTTAACCGAATGAGCCACCCAAGGCCTCCCCCCCCATTTTTAACTTTTGAAATGTTAGCTATATACCCCGACGTCGGGCATGAACTCACGACCCTGAGATCAATGGTCACATGTTCCACCGACTGAGCCACCGAGGCGCCCAAACAGACCATTTTCATTATAAAAAGAAAAGCACACTGCCTAGGTTTTAAAAATATAACAAGTTCAATTTCTGGTGTCACCAAAGACGACACCGGGTATCCACATGAGCCTCGCAAGGGAGACACCAAGATGGAACTGGAAGTGATGAGGCTCCTTGTATGAGCCCCACAGGCTGAGACAGAAACCATCCTCGAGGCCTCTAAGGCAGGGCCCGGGCCCGGGAGGGAGGGGCGCGCCCCCACCACACTGGGTGCAGCGCCAGCGCCTCGGTGGCAGCCCCAGCAACGGGGAGCTGTTTCAGTACGAGTCCGAACAAGCAAGGGACCCGGGACCATCATTCCCTGCCCGCTCAAGTTTCCCGGCTCTCTGTGACCGTGAGAAACTACCCATGCGTGGAAAGGAGCGGCTCTGGCAGACAACCGGAAATCACGGCCTCATTCAGCCTCGGCGGCCCTGCAAACGGAGGAGTTAGGCCAGCGAACGAGCACGGCTCCAGCTGAGAGACAGGCGCTCTCCCTCGGCCCAGTCAGCAGCTAGTGCGCCCAGCTGCTCCGGCAGGCTGTCACAGCCTGGACCTAGGTCTATGTCACCGGCTGCGGTGAGCGGAGCGATCCCTGCCCACTCCAGAACTCAGCCGTCCAAACCACCCTCCAGGCCACGCGTCAGAACCGACACTACGGACCTCGAGCATGGCCTCCTAGTCTGAGAGGCCTCCTGAATGGAAAGGCTGCGTCAGAAGAGGCAAGCAGAAACCACACTCCAGCCTCATGCAGAGCCCGGGGGGTGGGGGTGGGGGGCTCTGTCACGTAACTTGCCAGGGCTTCCGGGCTAGGGGCCCAGGACCTGATGAGGAGGGTGGGTCCGTCCCAACTTAAGGAGACCAGCACGCACTGAGGTGTGAGCAGAACACCGCAGGCCCTGGGGTGCGGAGAGGTGCCCGACGCAGGGATGGAGAGAGACCCATTAGCCTTACTTTCTGGCTTCCTCTCTTCAGCAGTGGAGCAGGCTTGGCAGTAGGTGGAGTACAGAGACAGGGGAATTTTATCTGCTCTGGATCAGGAGAAAACATGAAAACCAAGTCAACCAGGGACTCAGATTAGTTCGCAAGTTTACAATTTCAAAAACTATCATAAAACAAAAATATATGATATAGTCTACTATCCATACATTATAGTAGGACTATTTCTAGAAAAAGACCATTATATGCATGGACTCAAATGGTCCTCACTGTTTCGTAATTTGCCACATATAACACCTGCCAACCGTGGTTTTCAGAGGGTAGTGAGGCTGTAAATGATTTTCACTTCTCTCATTAAACTTTGGGTAATTCCCAAGTTTTAAAGACGACTTTTATTGCTTTTAATGAATAATACTGAGAGAAACACCTAATTACTGTAATCATAAACCGAATTATAGAGCAAAGTCCTGCGATAAGCGTTGCAGGCATGGACCCCCGGCTGGCACAGTCTCAGGGACAGGTCCAAGGACCAGAGCTGCGGAGTCACCCCTCAGAGAAGCAGAAGCCACGCGTGGTAGCCCGGGTACAGGACACAGGCAGGGGCCCAGCTGTGCGACCAAGTCTCTGAGTGAGCAGTGAGGCGGAGGGAGGCTCACCCTACTGGGCTCCAGACCCTGACGACGAGCCGGGAAGAGGAGGGTGGGGTGGCCATGTCCCTGAATGGGAGTGCCATCAAAGGCCAAAGCAAGGTAGCGGACAGCTGGAGCGGGGGCCACACCACCTGCCCTGGAGACTGGAAGGCCGGTGGCTTAAGGGTTAGAAATCAGTGCAAAGAAAAAGAAAAAGCAAATCTAAGGAAATGAAGAAATTCACAGAAAAGAACACCTCAGACATCGCACATCCTCAGAGACTGAAGGTCAAACCACTGCGGCTATTAGAGAAGAACAGATTTCCATAAATAGAAAAATCCAGTGACAGAAAGGACAGGCAAGTTAACTGGAAGAAATTCTCAGAAAGGAGAGAAGAAAAACCCCAAAAGACCAGATATGCAAAATGTAACAGAGAACAAGTCAGGCGGGAATCCGGGTGGTCTGATGTCTGAAAAGTAGGAGCCCCAAGAACCCACGCAGGAGTGGAGGCCTGCAGTGAGAAAAGCTACGTGAAGTGGTCTGTGTGTGGTTTGCGTCAAAACAGCCCCGAACAGGGGCACATGGACAGCTCAGTCAGCTGAGTGTCTGACTCTTGATTTTGGCTCAGATCATGATTTCATAGTCATGAGATCGAGCCCCTCGTCAGGCCATATGCTGGGCACGGAGCCTGCTCGGGATTCTCTCTCTCTCTCTCTGCTCCTACTCCACTTGTGTGTGCACACACATGCAGTCTCTCTCCCTAAAAATAAAAATAAATGAATAGCCCAGAACGGTTGGTGGACAGAGGAATTTGAGGGCTATGTAAGTACTATCCTACATTTCTATCTTAAATTTTTCATAACAAAAGGCTTTGAAATCTTTCAGTACTAAAGGACATGAATTTCCAGATTAAAAGGCCTACCATCTGCCCAGCCAAGAAATGAAATTAGACCCATGCCAAATACATTGCTATGAAATTTCACAATTCAGGGAATGATTAAAGAAAAAAAAAAAAAAAAAAAAAGACTCTGCAAGTCTCCGGAGAGAAAAATACATGTCACATGCCAAGAATCAGAAACCAACATCTCAACAGTGACACTGGAAGCTAGACATCAATAGAGCAGTATTTTAAAATTTTGAGGGAAAATATTTCCAACTCAGACTTCTACATTTCTTTCCCAGCCAAACTATCAAGTGTGAGGGCTGGGGGCACCTGGGTGGCTCAGCTGGTTAAGCGTCTGACTTCAGCTCAGGTCACCATCTCATGGTTTATGAGTTCGAGCCCCAGACCATGGGACCACAGCCTGTGTCAAAAGCCAGAGTCGTACACTGAATCAACTCAGCCACCCAGGCACCCCTAAAATTTTGGAATTTTCAGGGGTATACATCCAAGGGTTATCACTGAAGCACTATTAAAAGAGCATTATAGGGGCGCCTGGGTGGCTCAGTCGGTTAAGTGTCCGACTTCGGCTCAGGTCATGATCTCGCGGTTCGTGGGTTTGGGCCCCGCATCAGGCTCCGTGCTGACAGCTCAGAGCCTGGAGCCTGTTTTAGATTCTGTGTCTCCCTCTCTCTTTGCCTCTCCCCTGCTCACGCTGTCTCAAAATAAAATACATAAAAATAAATAAATAACTGAGCATTATACTGGAGCTAACCTAAGAGTTCTGTTGTAGGGGATGGATAAACTAATCAAGGTAGGTATTCTGTAGGCCATAGGACCCCGGGGCTGTGCAACATGGCAGCTGGTTGCCACAGAACAGAATTCTATGCTGTGGTTAAAATTAATAGGCAACCAACGGAATGGGAAAAGATAGTTGCAAATGACATATCAGATAAAGGGTTAATATCCAGAATCTATAAGGAACTCACCAAACTACATGCCCGAAAAACAAACAACCCAGTGAAGAAATGGGCAGAAGATATGAACAGACACTTCTCCAAAGAGGACATCCAGATGGCCAACAGACACATGAAACGATGCTCAGCATCCCTCTTCATCAGGGAAATACAAATCAAAACCACACTGAGATACCACCTCACGCCAGTCAGAGTGGCTAAAATGAGCAAATCAGAGAACTCTAGATGCTGGCGAGGATGTGGAGAAACGGGCACCCTCCTACACTGTTGGTGGGAATGTAAACTGGTACAGCCCCTCTGGAAAACAGTGTGGAGGTTCCTCAGGAAACTAACAATAGAACTCCCTTATGACCCAGCAATAGCACTGCTAGGAATTTACCCAAGGGATACAGAAATGCTGAGGCATAGGAGCACATGTACCCCAATGTTCATAGCAGCACTCTCCACAATAGCTAAAACATGGAAAGAGCCTAAGTGTCCATCAACAGATGAATGGATCAAGAAGATGTGGTTTATCTATACCATGGAATACTACATGGCAATGAGAAACAATGAAATCTGGCCATGTGTAGCAACATGGATGGACCTTGAGGGTGTTATGCTGAGCGAAATAAGTCAGGCAGAGAAGGACAAATATCATATGTTTGCACGTATAGGAGGATTAGGAGGAACTTGACGGAGGAACAAGGGGGAGAAGAAGGGGGGAAATGGTGGGGGAGAGGGAGAGAGGCAAACCATGAGAGACTCTTGAATGCTGACAAAAACTGAGGACTGATGGATGTGGGGGGGAGGGGGGTGGGCATGGAGGAGGGCACTTGTGGGGATGAGCACTGAGTGTTATGTGGAAACTAATTTGACAATAAACTATTTGTAAAAAAAAAAAAAAAAAAAAAAAAGAATTCTACGCTGTGGTTAAGTGATCCAGAGCACGTGGCCATCAGGGTGAGTGAAAACGCCAATCACAGAAGGGCACAGTGTGATATGTGCAGGCATACACACATACTTTGTACCTTTAAATATATGTAATAAAAGAATTAAAAATAGAAAAAAGACTGGGGCACCTGGGTGGCTTAGTTGGTTAAGCGTCCAACTCTTGACCTAGGCTCAGGTTATGATATGGTTCAAAGTTCGAGCCACGTGTCAGGCTCTTGAGCCGACAGTGCAGAGCCTGCTTGGGACCCTTTCTCCCCCACTCTATTCCTCCCCCGCTCACTCTCTCTCAAAAATAAATAAATGTTAAAAAAATAATAAAAAGATTACCCATGAACCTCAGGTTAGTGGTTTCCTTAGAGAGGCAAAATGGAAAGCAGGTCAAGGAGCCAGACTGAAAAGGGTTTCAACAATACCTGTACAATTTTATTTTGAACAAAAACAAAAAAAAGGAAACGCACAGCAAAGCATGAATGTGAGTGAGGCATATGAGTGCTTTTTGCCTTGGTCTCTGTACTTTTAGATTATTTTATATAAAAAATAAGGATCCCAGACAATAGTCATTATTTAGAAGATGACAAGGTTTACTTTTACTTTCCAGCCTCATTCTCCTTTGACCTTATCGCTGTGCTGTGAGAAGGTTACTAGGGAGCGGGGTTTACAGGAAGGATGAGCTCTGGGAACCAGTCAACTCTCGCTGCCGGAGGCCCTCGGTGGGAGCTGGGGAGCCGAGGCCCCGTGTTCTGCCCTGCGGCCTCGGCTCTGCCTGAATCTGCTGCAGGGAGAGGCTTCCATGTCTCCCTCTCTTCTTTCTTGGCTTAAGTTCTTTCACAATGATTATGGACCAATCACCTGACTTTCCTGAATCCCCAGACATAATCCTAAAAGTTCACTGAGAAATGATACTCAGTAGTAACACTCAGAATAAAAAAACTTTTCTTTTTAAAATCTTAACCGACTAATTTTGAGCCAAGATTTTATAAACGAAACACATGTGATAAAACAGACTCCTCTACAAAACAGGCACAATTCTTTGCGCTTATCAAAAACCCTTCTGGAAACAGGTGTCCATGCATACCTCCTCAGGGACTCTATCAAGGCCGCTCTGGAATCAGGGGTTTTCGGGAGCTGTGGGGGAAGACGAGATTCAAGTGAGACCCCTGCTCTCTGCCCACAGGCCCCCCAGCCACGACCACACATACTGACCACTCGAGGCGTGAGGAGGGCAGGGAGAAAGTGAGCCATGTAGTAAGGTCTCCTGAAGATGCTGCAACACAGAAGAGCAGGTGAGGAGGGCCACACACCCGGACACAAGCATTAGAACCCCTTACTGCAAACCCCAAACCTCCATTTCCAGTCACCACACGTCAGAGGCTGTCTCACTTCATACCCCCCGGCTGTGACGTCATTCCACAGTTTTAAGTCTTCTTGTTCACTGTTTTGGGACATTTCACGCAAAGGGAACAATGAGCCTGTGTCCCGGGGAAGCCGGAAGGCACTCTGCCCGCCGCACAGCTGTGTGATCTGGGTTGGTGACTTAAGGTCAGAGGTGAGAGCTCCCCTGGGGGCTGAGTGGGAAGTCCCGGGAGCAGGGGTCAGTTCCCATCTCTGAGGAGTGACGCCTTAAAAGCGCTGCCGCACACTGAGAGCGACCCCAGCTGAAAACGTTCCAGGATCACACAAAATCCAAACAACTTTGCTGTTCAATTCTGGGCTGGCTGCACGTCCGGCGCCCACGAAGCATCGGTAGCAAACGGTCACTAACCCACGAGCTCCTCCCAGTCCCCTACGGGGGGTCTTCTCCATGCCACCCGTCAGCTTTTACCAAAAACCGAAGCTCACAGCAAGGGCTCCACACCACCGCACCCTTGGTCACCCACAGATCCAAAAGCCATTCTACTCCGAGCGGCTCTGCAAGCAGACGGGACAAGACCGGGAAGCAGGACCGTACCTGGCCTCCATGACCGTGGCAGGGACTCGCCCGGTGTGCTCGAACACCGCGATGGCCTTCTCCACATCCTGGCGCGCTCGGCTCTGGGGCTGGCTCCGCACGGTGGGGGTGAGAAGAGAACGGAAGATGTGAAAGACAAGACACTGGGCGTAGAAGGGTGTCATCAGCCTCCCCTTGAGCAGAGCTTGGCCACGGGAAGGTGATGGCACAACGCTCAGACAAACCACTACCAGTGAGACCAGAGGAAGGGACCAGTGGCTGCTTCTCGCTCTCAGAAAGTTGGCATCTACCAAGGAGCCGCCCCACTAACCACTCAACACCTCTGGGAGCCTCGGCCACCCTCCCGGATCCCCCTAGGAGAATAAACAGTTTTAAGGAAAGATCTGAAGTGGGAAAGGGAAGAGTCTTCATTTTTGAGATTTAAAAAAATTACAAAATGACGACTTATGAACAGCAAGAAATCCTAAATGGACACTGCACTAAATACTGACAAATGTCCTCCTCGCGCTTTAACGGCAGCTGGGAGGGCTCTCCGGCAGCTCACAACTCTTACACGAGGGTCTCAAAGCAACGTGCACAGAGCACACAGCATTCTGACACCTGGTTTACGTCAACAGGGTTAACGCTTTGTCCTGTGATTCTTAGAAAACAGGATCTGCCCCCAACCCCATTTTACAAACCTCCTGTCCTACGCAAACCCACATGAACGGAGATCTACAAGACAGACTTTCTTGCACACAGTGACCTGCTTTACTCCTGCTCTGAAAAGGATGGACCATCACAAAATAAGTACCTTCCAGTAACTCCCATCCTCAAGCTGCACCACAAAGAAAAAGCTCCAATTCTCAGCTCAGAGGGAGCGCAGGGGAGGGGCCGCAGGGGGCAGGAGCACCGAGGTGACCTTACCTCTGTCACGTCCGCGGGTGAAGCCAGATCCTCGTAGAGGCCCATGTTTTCCACAGACACCTGTAGAGGGGTCGTGTTTGGGAACAGGAGCACCGGTCAGGCGCTGGCCTCTGCAGGGAGAGGCTGAGAGCAGCTGCTGCAGGGGAGGGGAGGCGAGGCCAGGACTCACCTTCAGGTCGGCCAGGCGCGTCTTGGCCAGCGAGACATAGTCTGTGAGGAGGGAGCGGTACTTGCTCGGCACCAGCGGCGGGTGGAGAATGTGCGCCTGTGGGCAGACGGCAGAGCACGGTCACATCAGCCTGTGGACTGGCAGGGACTTGGGGGGGAAGGCAACGGCCCGCCCCCGAAACCTGCACGTGCTGGACGTCGGGAAAGTCAAAGTGTTAGCCAAAGACCCTGCGGGCTGACGTCAGACGTGGGACAGAGTCCCGCGGGCAGGTCTCCACCTGCTTCCACGGACGTCGCTTCAGAAGGCGGCCATGCCAGGGGCGGGGTGGGCCCACCCGCAGAGCTGGCCCCTCACCCACCACACCCCAGCGCCCCCGCTCAGGCTCTGTCCTCAAGGGCTGCAGCTGCGGCACAAACAGCGTGCCCAGGAGACGAGGGGTCAGGCCCTCACGGCAGGTTTCTTCTGGGCTTCACTCAGTGACGCCTCGTTCTTTATTCTTCTTTCTCCTTTCTGTCAAATGTATTCTTTGGAATGTAATGCACATGTCATATTTACAAAAAGAAGCGAGACTCAGTCCCCAGGTGCCCTACCACCCAGAGAATGCTGGCTGCAGTCCTCTCATTTTAAAAGAGAAAGCTTGCAGTGAGGCATTTCTAATAACAAGATTCATATAGATTCGTTATTAAAAATTCTAACTCGGGGGCGCCTGGGTGGCTCAGTCAGTTGAGCGTCCAACTTCAGCTCAGGTCGTGATCTCGCGGTTCGTGGGTTCGAGCCCCGCGTCGGGCTCTGTGCTGACTGCCAGCCTGGAGCTGCTTCGGATTCTGTCCTTCTCCTGCTCATGCTGTCTCTCTCTCTCAGAAATAAATAGAAACACTGGAAAATTTAAAAAAAAAAAATTCTAACTCGGGGCACCTGGGTGGCTCTATTGGTTGAATGTCCACCTTTGGCTCAGGTCATGCATCTCAAGTTTGTGAATTCGAGCCCCACACTGAGCTCGCTGCTGTCAGGGTGAAGCTCGCTTCGGATCTTCTGTCTCCCTCTCTGGCTGCCCCTTCCCCATTTGCACGTGCTCACTCTCAAAATAAACAAATGTAAAAAAATTAAATAAAATTTAAGAATCTTTAAAAAAAACTCTGGATGAGAACATGAAGGTCTTCAACCCTGGAAGCAACCGCCACTGGTGCTTTGGGGTATATCCTTCCGGTTCTTCTTCAATATAAAAATATATCATTTTAACTGGTAACTAACTGGAATTTAAATACAAACCTGAAACTATGAAAAGAACAAGAAAAAATACATAAATTTAACAAAAACCCGGGGCTGGACCGCCCCCGTACGTGCTCTGCACCGGGCGGGTGCTAGGGACACCTTCCTGTGCCCGCACGTGGCCCCCGCGCTCGGCGACCACCTCCAGCGATGGACACTGGTTGACTCCTGGGCGTCCCCCCGTCCCAAACACGGCTTCCGTGCCCAGGGCTCCAGGACCGGCTGAGTCACGAAGCCGGCGCTGAGGAGAACCGGGGGGCGCCCTGGCGGGTGGGACGGCGCTCACCTGCAGGTACCGGGGAGCCTCAAAGGGCACGAGGTCTGACAGGAACTTGAAGAGGAAGACCAGTGTCTTCTTGCTGCAGCCATGGTAGCCCCTCGAGCTCCCAAACGAGGCCTGGAGGGAGAGGCAGGCGTGAGGGCCAGGCGGCTGGCTCCTCAGGGGCTGTGCCACCACGCAGTGACCTGTCACTGCAGCTCTGTCTGCCACAGAAATAGAAACTCAATTGGAATGAAAAGGAAATAGCCGCCTGGGGTCCTGTCATCTCATGCCATGGCTCTGCCCGACTGAAGAGATGGGCTGAGAGGTTATTTAAAACGAAAAATTATGGGGCGCCTGGGTGGCTGAGTCGGTTAAGTGTCCGATTTTGGCTCGGGTCATGATCTCATGGTCTGTGAGTTCAAGCCCCTCATCGGGCTCTGTGCTGACAGCTCAGAGCCTGGAGCTGCTTCTGATGCTGTCTCCCTCCTTCTCTGACCCTCCCCCACTCATGCTTGCTCATGCTCTCTCTCTCCCAAAAATAAACAATAAACATTACAAAGTTTAAAAAGTACATTCCTATGGGAGCATCTGGGTGGCTTGTCAGTCAAGTGTCCACCTCTTGGTTTTAGCTAAGGTCATGATCCCAGAATTGGGGAATCGAGCCCCGCGTCAGGCTCTGCATTGAACGGAGAGTCTGCTTGGGATTCTCTTTAATCGCATCTCTCTGCCCTGACCCCAGCTTGCTCTCTCTAAAATAAAATAAAATTAGTTAATTAAAAGTACCATATATACACATTCCTATAGAAAACAGTAACTGTGCTGTCTTTTTGCGATCCTCAGAGGCACAATGCGTTAGTTGCCCTAAGAAGGGCTCCTTCCTAAACAGACACACTCTACATGATGAAGCCACTTCTGAACACACAGACACTCTCGCTCTTCTGTGAGGAGACAAGGTCACTGCAGGGGAAGCGGCTAAGGAGGACAACCCCTCGGGGCACTCAAAGTGCCCAGCTCTCAACAGAAAAGCGGGCCCCTACAGGAACTGGGGGTGCCTGGGGAGCGTCGGGAATTCCAGAACGGGCAGTGGACCTGAAGAGCCACCATGAGCCTCCACCAAGAGAGCCAAAGGCCAGCCACACCGAGTGCGGCCCCAGCCCAGCCCACCGGAACTACCCAGCACCGCTCCTGGGTTGGGAGGCCAGCGGAGCACTTCTGCCAGAGCACACGACGCAGCTGTGCGGGGGGGAGGGTGCAGACACACGGGCAGACACAGAGCGCCACCAGAAGGGGGAAGATGGAGGAGCAGGAGGGCCCGAGACGTCCCCCATCCCACGAATACAACTAGGTAGCTATCAAATCATCCCAAACGCCCCAGAAACCAGCCCGAAGACTGGCAGAATGACAAGAGATGCGGTTTGCAGGGGAAACATGATGGCCGCTGTGCCGGGAGGGAGCGGCCTTTGTGGAGAAGGGCGAGAGGCAGAACGCACGCAGGGCAGCTCAGGGGAAACGGGTCCCCAGGGCAACTGGCTTGGAAGGTGAGAGGGCCAAGTTCTCGCAACCAGCGAGGCCCTAGGCCTGGAGCTCTAAAGGTCAGGGGCTTGGCCAGGGGGAACCTGGCGGGCACCGTGCTGCTCCTGGGGAGGAGGTGGGCAAGCAGCCCGGGGACACGAGGTGTGGAAACCGTGCATGAAGAGACCTGAGGACACAGGGGAGGTTATCTGCTCATCTCCAAGCCCAGAGAGACCATGTTCACAGAGAGATCCCTTCAGGAGCAGAGGAACTGCCTGGCGCCGCTTCCCTCCCGCCCCTCGGCACAAGCACAGAAACTCCTGTGGGAAGAGCAGAGCTCGAAGAACACTCGCCTCCCAACTTGCTCACACCGAACGCCCCCCACCCCCGCCACACGCTCCAGCGCAGCTGCCCTTCCTAGCAGACCCCTTCCCCCAGAAGACCGGCCCGAACCCCTGCTCACACCGCTGTCTCACCACCAGGGAGTTTCGCGAGGCCTCACTTCCGCATCCCATCTCACAAGCAGACCAGAGCACTTCAAATGGGTCCCACTTGGACCAAACACTGCCCACAACAGGCGAAGAGAGCTCCTGCAGACACCCAGCCTGAAGGATAAAGCGTCCAGGACACAACAGCAGACCGCGTGCAGCACACACTGGGGATGCTCGCTGAAGCACCCTGGGGACAGGGGACGGGACGCTGCAGGGCACTCCGGGACCTGTTTGTAAGGCCACCACCCTCGGGAACAGGAGACTGACTTTCCTGACACAGAGAAGCAGGTGCAGAGACTTAGACAAAATAAGGAGACAGAGGGATCTGTTCCAAATGAAAGAACAAGACAAGACCAGAGCTGGAGACCAAAGTGAGACAAGTGTAAGTAACATGGCTGATGGAAAATTTAAGCAAGAATCCTAAGGAAGCTCACTGGACTTGAGAAAAGAGTGGAGGACATCAGTGAGACCATTAACACAGACATAAGGAATAACACAGCAGAAATAAAGGGCTAAAAAAAAAAAAAAAAAAAAAAAGGAGAAACACACTTGATGGAATGAAGAGCAGGCTGGAAGAAGCAGAGGAATGAATGAGTGACCAAAAGACAGAGTAATGGAAAGCAATGAAGCTCAAACAAAAGAGAGAAAGAAGAATTATGCAACATGAGAAGAGACTCAGGGAACTCAGTGACTCCTTCGAATGTAATGACATTAGCATTAAAGGAATCCCAGAAGAAGAAGAGAGAGAAAGGAGGGCAGAGAATTTATCTGAAGAAATAATAGCTGAAAATGTCCTTAATCTGCAGAAGGAAGTAGATAACCAGATCGAAGTGGCACAGAGAAGACCCATTAAAATCAACAAAAGCAGATCCAAACTAAGACATATTGTAATTAAATTTGCAAAATATAGTGATAAAAAAATATTTTAAAAGAACCATGACAGAGAAAGACTGTTGCATACAAAGGAAACCCCATAAGGCTTTCAGAAGATTTTTCAGCAGAAACTTTCCAAACCAGAAGGGAACGGCATGGTATATTCAAAGTGCTGAAGGGGAAAATTCTTCAACCAAGAATACAAGAGTATCTAGCGAGGGATACTGTATTCATATACTCTATCCGGAATAGAGGAAGAGAGTTTCCCAAACAAAAGCTTTAAAATTCATGACCAAAAACCAGCCCTACAAGAAATACTAAAGGGGACTCTTCAAATAGAGAGACCTAACGTGACAGAATAAAAGTAGGAAACACAAAAGCAGTAAGAATATATATTTCTGTAAAAACTCAAGTCAAGGAACTCACAAGATAAAAGAATTTAAAATGTGACAACATATGCCTCTTAAGGTGGGGAGGAGAGGAATAAAGGATGGGTTCAAACTTGAATGACCATCAACTTAAATACAGACTGCTATATGAAGAGGTTATATACAAACTTAATGCTGACCATATTTCAAAACCACTAATAAATATGCAAAGAATAAAAAGGAAAAATCCAAATATATCACTAAAGAAAATCAGCAAACCATGAAAGAAAAACACAAGAAAGGTTCAGAGAGAACTTTCAGAAACAACCACAAAAAAAATAAGTAAATGGCAATAAACACATCACCATTCAGCTCCCACCCAAGATCAGGGCCACCAAGTCCCTCCCTCTAAGCTGTCTATGCAGACCGGTTAGTGACCCTTGGCAACATCCAATCAAATCAAGACTGAGCCTCAACGACATGTTGGAAACAGGAATAAAAAGCCACCACTCAGTTGCTTGAGCGTCTGACTCTTGATTTCGGCTCAGGTTATGACCTCATGGTTCTCAGCATGGGGCTCCATGCTGAGAGTGTGGGGCCTGCCTGGAGTTCTCTCTCCACTCCCCTCCCCCTTTCCCTGCTCAAAGATGCTCTCTAAATAAATACATCCACCAGAGGAGACCCACGGTTTATTTGAAGTATTTATGTCAAGTACCTAAAAGAACACACACATCTCTGAATGTGGGGTTACAACAGCTCAAGGTGTCACTTCAGAGGAAAGACAGTTCTTTTCAACAGAAAAATTACATCTAAGTACATACCATGATGAGCTGAGAACCATAATTCAGGACCCCAAAAGGCTCAAATTTAAAATTATCACATTGGCCTATTTACATTAATATTCTTGCAATTAAAGATTAAAACAGATCTTTGAGGGGCACCTGGGTGGCTCAGTCAGTTAAGCGTCCAACTTCAGCTCAGGTCATGGCTCAAGGTTCATGGGTTCGAGCCCCGCATCAGGCTCTGTGCGGACAGCTCAGAGCCTGGACCCAGCTTCGGATTCTGTGTCTCCCTCTCTCTCTCTGCCCCTCCCCCACCTGTGCTCTGTCTCTCAAAAATAAATGTAAAAAAAATTAAAAATAAGTAAATAAAACAGATCTTTAAACACTGAACATACACATAAACATCTGTCAAACTCACCCAAGCATTCACCTAAATTGGGTACATTTTATGTCAATTGTATCTCAATAAACTTGACTTCAAATATAAAAGGAAAAACGAAACAAAAAAAACAAAAAAAAAACCAAAAAACTCCATCAACAGAGCACTTGCAAGCATTCCTGTCTGTGTGTTGCCCTGAGAACGGGGCAAAGCTCGGCCCGGAGACACCCGGTGGTGACTGAATCCCCGAGGCACAGCAGACACAGAAGACAAGCAAACACAGGAAACAGGCCGGTTCGGTCTGACCACCAGGGCCCCCGGCTGCGGACGCTGCCACAGCTCCACGCACGTCTAGCGGCGCTCCCGGGCCGACAGCCCGTTGCTGGGGGAGCACAGGGCTGACAAGACTCAGTTCTAGGGAATAAAAGGACAGACAGAACCCCACAACCCCGTCCTGTGCCAATGCCCCAGGTAGGCAGAGGGGCCAAGCGGGCTCCCACGGGGGCTGTGCAGGGGCAGCTCCCCTCAGAACTGGAGGTACGCGGGCTCCCCAGAAGCCACCACCAGCTACAAAACCAGGCAGCGTGGCAAGAAAACCCAAAACCTCCACAAAGGATGAGATAGTGGTTTTTATCCTGAAAGGGGGTGGGGTGCAAGTGAGGGAGGGGTAGAGAGAAGCGGGGCTCACCTGGGGCGCAAGCTCCCCCAAAGTGGGACTCGAACTCACGACCCGTGAGATCATGACCCCAGCCGAAGTCCGCCGCTTCACTGACTGAGCCCCCTGGGCGCTCCAATCAGATAGCTTTTTAAATGACAGATTTACACACCCAGCCTTCAAAGCTGATGTCGGGAAGACACCTTCTCAGAAGCAAGACTCTGCCGGCTACGAACGGCTGCAGAAAAGACGTGGCGGAAACAAAGAGAAGCCCCGGGAAGGTGAGAAGCCCCCTCTGGGATGCAGCACGCTGCGGCAGCGGCAGCGGGCACGTTTGTTTTCCTGGTTTCCTGACCGCACTCCCGAACTCAGAGACCGGACTGGACAGGCAGAGGCCATTAGGGAGGAGCCAAAGCCCAGACAGAACAGCGCCGAGCCCGGGGGGGCGAGGGGGGGGGGACACAGAACATGTCTGCTCAGAGGGCAGCGAGTCAGACGCCCCACAGTGGCTGCTGGGAGGCGGCTTACCTGGAACCAGTCTGTGTAGGATGGGAACACAGACGGCCCCTCCAGCGCAGCCTGACGCACAACCAGGAACGCAGTGACCATGCTGTCCAGGTCGCAGTGCTCGAACGCACGGGCCAGCAATCGGGCCACCCAGTCTAGGAGGGAACGACCACAGTCACAGCAGGGAGACAAGGGCATTCAGCAAAATAAAACTCGGATCTTCCGCCGGGGACAGGGCACGGCGTTCAGAATACGCACGCCCAGTGCCCGGTTCAAGAGCCTGGGTCGCAAATGACCACAGAGCCAAACCCCGACTACATGAGGTGGCAGCAAGCACATCGCTGCCACAGGAGGTGAACGCAGGGCACAGACGAGAAGACCCAGGGCGCCATCAGAGCCGGTGAGAGGAGTGGCCCTTCCACCGACAGGCTCACCCACAAACCACAGGACACACACCACACGAGCACGCGCACAGGGCTTCCCACCCAAGTGCACCTTGAACCAGCTGCTGCGCTTCGGGTAAGCAGATCACCAGTGTGGACACACAGGTCAGCACATGCTGCCAGTTCACCTCATGTGTTTCCAGAACTTCTTGCAAGTGGCCAACCAGCTCCTCTGAACTCAGCATAGCAAAGAGCTGAAAGAAAAGTGCCGTCGGCTGTCAAAACAAGCCACTCATCAGGCGGTGGGAGCCTCACCTCCATCCCACTTCCCATCGGACACAACGTGAAGTTGACGCGGGGACACACGCGGGCAAGCGAGAGGGCGTGCTGCCCACGCGAGAAGTCCAGTCTCAGGGCCCCCATTAGTCCAGGTGCGGATGGCGGGGCCCGTGGAGGCTCCCGGCATCTCTCCCCCGGCTGGGAGCCGCGGCCTATGGACGCAGCAGGCCTGAACGCTCCGCATACAATACCCACCCTGCGGTAGAGGCCGGTGAGCAGAGGGTGGGTCTTCGCAAAGCTCCACTCTTTCTGCATTTGGACAGCATCACAAACTTCATTCAGGAACAAACACAGACAAAAATGTCAAGTCAGGGGCGCCCGGGGAGCTCAGTCGGTTAAGCGTCTGACTTCGGCTCAGGGCATGATCTCATGGTTCGTGGGTTCGAGCCCTGTGTCGGGCTCTGTGCTGACAGCTCAGAGCCTGGAGCCTGCTTCAGATTCTGTGTCTCCCTCTCTCTCTCTGACCCTCCCCTGCTCACGTTGTCTCTCTCTCTCTCTCCTCTCTCTCAGAAATAATTAAAAGAAAAAATGTCAAGTCAGTAATCATGAAAAGCCATGTCTTGCTTCAATGTCAAAAAACCACTTTGCTTTAATTTGCATTTTTTCCAACTATCGCCTAAGTTCACCATTTCCCTGTTTGCTCCCATTTTCTGCTATCAAATGTATCTTTGGCCCAGTTCCTGCTGGTGATCCTACATATTTGCTATATTTTCTAATCCATCAATCACATTTTAATTTTGCTGCTTTTACCCTCTGTCATTATGCAATTTTTGAGCAGCAGGCCCTTCAGAAAGTACAACACAGCAGCTGCTGGAAGCATCCCTGTATCCCCTCCCCCGCACACGGCTGCCTGGAGGACACCCCACCCGCCGGGCACACCCCTGCACACAGAGAAAGCTTGCCGGGCAGTTCTCATTTCCACCTCCTGAGTAACAGTGGAAACTTGCAAACACGGTCACCGAACAGATGGGGACAGCAACCACAGGGCACCCGCTGGAGGAGGACATGCCATTAACCACTTCTACGAAACGGATGGAGGGGCGTCCGGGGGGCTCAGTCGGTGAAGCATCCGACTCTCGATTTCAGCTCAGTTGTGATCCCAGGGTGGCAGGATCTAGCCCCACGTCAGGCTCCGCACTGACAGTGTGGAAGCTGCTTGGGATTCTCACTTTCTCTCTTTCTCTCTCTCTCTTACTCAAAAAAAAAAAAAAAAAAAAGCGGCAGCAGCATATAATTACAGCTGACCCTTGAACAACATGGATTTGAAACATGAGTGGGTCCATTTACATGCATTTTTTTCCTAATACAGTGTAACACTGTACATTTATTCTCTCATAATGTCTGAATACTATTTTCTCCAGCTTACTTTACCATTAGAACACAGTTCTTAATACATGTACTGTACAAAATCTGTGTTAACCGACTGTTTGCATTACCCTCAAGGCTTTTTGGTCAACAGTAGGCTGTTAGGACTTAAGTTCTGAAAAGTCAAAACTTACATGCAGATTTTCAACTGCACACGGGGTCAGGGTCCCCAAACCCCATATCATTCAAGGATCAACCGCGCATAAGAAAACGCTTATATGATTAAAACAAAACCTAGTAACTCACTCTGATAACAAGATTTTCACAATCTACTGGGAAAAGACCACAAAGAAAGTTCCATGTTAAAGATATTTCTATTTTAGTGACAACATGGGTGGTGGGTGACAGTTCTCCTCCCCATACCTCTTTAATTCTGAGGTTTTTTTTTTACAAGAATGTGCAACTTTCAAATAAAGACATTTGATGCTACTGTGCCCTCACGGTCTCGAGCTGTGTCAGAGTACTGCCATCCGGGCCCAAGCTCCCATCAGCCAAACAAGCTGGGCCGCGGAGCTCACCTCTCAGCACAGGCTTGTGGGTCAGCACCTGAGTCAGAGTGTGACTGAAGAATCTCTTAGGAGAATCCGTCGACATGATGCTGCTGTACGTGTGTCCAGAGAACACGCCGAACCTGCAAACACAACATCAAGAGGTGCTCAGAGAAGAGGCCCCCCCCGGGTCCCGGCAGTGCCCACAGCACCCTGCACACCAGCAGCTCATCAAAGGCTACTTTTGTCCAGCAGGGCTGCATGGACCTCGAGGCCCCCAACCCCCCGCTCAGGGGGCACACAGGCTCCCTCTTTCCAGAACGCTCTGCCAGGCCGCTGTGCCAGACTCGAAATGGGAGTCCAGAGAAGTGCAGGTCCAGTAAGAAAGTTGCCGCCCAGGGGCGCCTGGGTGGCTTAGTCGGTTAAGCGTCCGACTTTCGCTTAGGTCATATCTCGCAGTTCGTGGGTTCGGGCCCCGCGTCGGGCTCCGTGCTGCCAGCTCAGAGCCTGGAGCCAATTTCAGAGTCTGTGTCTCCCTCTCTCTCTGTCCCAGAAATAAAAAAAAAAAAAAAAAAGTTGCCGCCCAAAGAGCAAAGAAGCCAGAAAGGGATCAGAATGACACCGGGAAGTCTGGGTCAGTCCACAGCAAGCTGCAGATGTCACAAAGCCTCAGTCTCCCTGTCTGTGGAATGAGGACCAGGGGCCAGCAGGGCGATAGCCAGGCTTGTACAGCTGGGACACGCAGACACTCAGATACAGCGGCAGTTCCCAAAGCTAATGAAGTCTCAGGACAGGATGAGGAAGGAAGGACGGCGGGCAATGGCCGTCACTGACAGGTCAGGAGGGACAAAGGGTGACGGGGCTGCCTGGGAGTGGAGCCCTGAGGGCAGTCCAGTGCGCCAGGGTCAGAGCTGCTGAAATTGGCGGCACCCAATTTCTCAGGGAGAAGAACAGCCCCAGTCACACAAGCAAAGAGGAGACACCAAGCAGGTGGGGGTGGCCACGGCCCCTGCTGGCCTTCCTGGGGGCCGGCCTGGGATGCAAACCCCATGTGCCAGGGAGGCTGGCCACCCAGACCAGGGAGGGAGGGGGTCTGGTTTTATGGTGAATACGGCAACTAATTAAGAAACTTATAAAGAAACAAACACATCAACAGTCATTACCTAACTTCAGGATGGGAGTCTGAGCAATCCAGTCAGGTGTGTTATAAAAAGACACAAAATGGGGCGCCTGGGTGACTCAGTCGGTTAAGCGTCCAACTTCAGCTCAGGTCATGATCTCACCGTTCGTGGGTTCGAGCCCCACGTCAGGCTCTGTGCTGCCAGCTCAGAGCCTGGAGCCTGTTTCAGATTCTGTGTCTCCCTCTCTTTCTCTGACCTTCCACTGCTCATGCTCTGTCTCAAAAATAAATAAACATTAAAAAAATAAAATAGGGGCGCCTGGGTGGCTTAGTCGGTTAAGTGTCCGACTTTCGCTTAGGTCATGATCTCACGGTTCGTGGGTTCGAGCCCCGCGTCGG